ACACTCTTGTCACTCTCAACACTCTTGTCACACTCAACACTCTTGTCACACTCAACACTCTTGTCACTCTCAACACTCTTGTCACACTCAACACTCTTGTCACACTCAACACTCTCACACTAAACACTCTTGTCACACTCGACACTCTTGTCACACTCAACACTCACACTCAACACTCTTGTCACACTCAACACTCTTGTCACACTCAACACTCTTGTCACACTCAACACTCTTGTCACACTCAACACTCTTGTCACACTCAACACTCTTGTCACTCTCAACACTCTTGTCACACTCAACACTCTTGTCACACTCAACACTCTTGTCACACTCAACACTCTTGTCACACTCAACACTCTTGTCACTCTCAACACTCTTGTCACTCTCAACACTCTTGTCACTCTCAACACTCTTGTCACACTCAACACTCTTGTCACACTCAACACTCTCACACTCAACACTCTTGTCACACTCAACACTCTTGTCACACTCAACACTCTTGTCACACTCAACACTCTTGTCACACTCAACACTCTTGTCACACTCAACACTCTTGTCACACTCAACACTCTTGTCACACTCAACACTCTTGTCACACTCAACACTCTTGTCACTCTCAACACTCTTGTCACACTCAACACTCTTGTCACACTCAACACTCTTGTCACACTCAACACTCTTGTCACTCTCAACACTCTTGTCACACTCAACACTCTTGTCACACTCAACACTCTTGTCACACTCAACACTCTTGTCACACTCAACACTCTCACACTCAACACTCTTGTCACACTCAACACTCTTGTCACACTCAACACTCTTGTCACACTCAACACTCACACTCTCAACACTCTTGTCACTCTCAACACTCTTGTCACACTCAACACTCTTGTCACTCTCAACACTCTTGTCACACTCAACACTCTTGTCACACTCAACACTATTGTCACACTCAACACTCTTGTCACACTCAACACTATTGTCACACTCAACACTCTTGTCACACTCAACACTCTTGTCACACTCAACACTCTTGTCACACTCAACACTCACACTCAACACTCTTGTCACTCTCAACACTCTTGTCACACTCAACACTCTTGTCACACTCAACACTCTTGTCACACTCAACACTCTTGTCACACTCAACACTCTTGTCACACTCAACACTCACACTCAACACTCTTGTCACTCTCAACACTCTTGTCACACTCAACACTCTTGTCACACTCAACACTCTTGTCACACTCAACACTCTTGTCACACTCAACACTCTTGTCACACTCTTGTCACACTCAACACTCTTGTCACACTCAACACTCTTGTCACTCTCAATACTCTTGTCACACTCAACACTCTTGTCACTCTCAACACTCTTGTCACACTCAACACTCTTGTCACTCTCAACACTCTTGTCACACTCAACACTCTTGTCACTCTCAACACTCTTGTCACACTCAACACTCTTGTCACTCTCAACACTCTTGTCACACTCAACACTCTTGTCACACTCAACACTCTCACACTAAACACTCTTGTCACACTCTACACTCTTGTCACACTCAACACTCACACTCAACACTCTTGTCACACTCAACACTCTTGTCACACTCAACACTCTTGTCACACTCAACACTCTTGTCACACTCAACACTCTTGTCACACTCAACACTCTTGTCACTCTCAACACTCTTGTCACACTCAACACTCTTGTCACACTCAACACTCTTGTCACACTCAACACTCTTGTCACACTCAACACTCTAGTCACTCTCAACACTCTAGTCACACTCAACACTCTTGTCACACTCAACACTCTTGTCACACTCAACACTCTTGTCACACTCAACACTCTTGTCACACTCAACACTCTTGTCACTCTCAACACTCTTGTCACTCTCAACACTCTTGTCACACTCAACACTCTTGTCACTCTCAACACTCTTGTCACACTCAACACTCTTGTCACACTCAACACTATTGTCACACTCAACACTCTTGTCACACTCAACACTCTTGTCACACTCAACACTCTTGTCACACTCAACACTCTTGTCACACTCAACACTCTTGTCACACTCAAGACTCTTGTCACACTCAACACTCTTGTCACACTCAACACTCTTGTCACACTCAACACTCTTGTCACTCTCAACACTCTTGTCACACTCAACACTCTTGTCACACTCAACACTCTTGTCACACTCAACACTCTTGTCACACTCAACACTCTTGTCACTCTCAACACTCTTGTCACACTCAACACTCTTGTCACTCTCAACACTCTTGTCACACTCAACACTCTTGTCACACTCAACACTCTTGTCACACTCAACACTCTCACACTCAACACTCTTGTCACACTCAACACTCTTGTCACACTCAACACTCTTGTCACACTCAACACTCACACTCTCAACACTCTTGTCACTCTCAACACTCTTGTCACTCTCAACACTCTTGTCACACTCAACACTCTCACACTCAACACTCTTGTCACACTCAACACTCTTGTCACACTCGACACTCTTGTCACACTCAACACTCTTGTCACACTCAACACTCTTGTCACTCTCAACACTCTTGTCACACTCAACACTCTTGTCACACTCAACACTCTTGTCACTCTCAACACTCTTGTCACACTCAACACTCTTGTCACACTCAACACTCTCACACTAAACACTCTTGTCACACTCGACACTCTTGTCACACTCAACACTCACACTCAACACTCTTGTCACACTCAACACTCTTGTCACACTCAACACTCTTGTCACACTCAACACTCTTGTCACACTCAACACTCTTGTCACACTCAACACTCTTGTCACACTCAACACTCTTGTCACACTCAACACTCTTGTCACACTCAACACTCTTGTCACACTCAACACTCTTGTCACACTCAACACTCTTGTCACACTCAACACTCTTGTCACTCTCAACACTCTTGTCACTCTCAACACTCTTGTCACACTCAACACTCTTGTCACACTCAACACTCTCACACTCAACACTCTTGTCACACTCAACACTCTTGTCACACTCAACACTCTTGTCACACTCAACACTCTTGTCACACTCAACACTCTTGTCACACTCAACACTCTTGTCACACTCAACACTCTTGTCACTCTCAACACTCTTGTCACACTCAACACTCTTGTCACTCTCAACACTCTTGTCACACTCAACACTCTTGTCACACTCAACACTCTTGTCACACTCAACACTCTTGTCACACTCAACACTCTTGTCACTCTCAACACTCTTGTCACACTCAACACTCTTGTCACACTCAACACTCTTGTCACACTCAACACTCTTGTCACACTCAACACTCTCACACTCAACACTCTTGTCACACTCAACACTCTTGTCACACTCAACACTCTTGTCACACTCAACACTCACACTCTCAACACTCTTGTCACTCTCAACACTCTTGTCACACTCAACACTCTTGTCACTCTCAACACTCTTGTCACACTCAACACTCTTGTCACACTCAACACTATTGTCACACTCAACACTCTTGTCACACTCAACACTCTTGTCACACTCAACACTCTTGTCACACTCAACACTCACACTCAACACTCTTGTCACTCTCAACACTCTTGTCACACTCAACACTCTTGTCACACTCAACACTCTTGTCACACTCAACACTCTTGTCACACTCAACACTCTTGTCACACTCTTGTCACACTCAACACTCTTGTCACACTCAACACTCTTGTCACTCTCAATACTCTTGTCACACTCAACACTCTTGTCACTCTCAACACTCTTGTCACACTCAACACTCTTGTCACTCTCAACACTCTTGTCACACTCAACACTCTTGTCACTCTCAACACTCTTGTCACACTCAACACTCTTGTCACACTCAACACTCTTGTCACACTCAACACTCTTGTCACACTCAACACTCTTGTCACACTCAACACTCACACTCAACACTCTTGTCACACTCAACACTCACACTCAACACTCTTGTCACACTCAACACTCTTGTCACACTCAACACTCTTGTCACACTCAACACTCTTGTCACACTCAACACTCACACTCAACACTCTTGTCACACTCAACACTCTTGTCACACTCAACACTCACACTCAACACTCTTGTCACACTCAACACTCACACTCAACACTCTTGTCACACTCAACACTCTTGTCACACTCAACACTCTTGTCACTCTCAACACTCTTGTCACACTCAACACTCTTGTCACACTCAACACTCTTGTCACTCTCAACACTCTTGTCACACTCAACACTCTTGTCACACTCAACACTCACACTCAACACTCTTGTCACACTCAACACTCTTGTCACACTCAACACTCTTGTCACACTCAACACCCTTGTCACTCTCAACACTCTTGTCACACTCAACACTCACACTCAACACTCTTGTCACACTCAACACTCTTGTCACACTCAACACTCTTGTTACTCTCAACACTCCTGTCACACTCAACACTCTTGTCACACTCAGCACTCTTGTCACACTCAACACTCTTGTTACACTCAACACTCTTGTCACACTCAACACTCTTGTCACACTCAACAATCTTGTCACACTCAACACTCTTGTCACACTCAACACTCTTGTCACACTCAACACTCTTGTCACACTCAACACTCTTGTCACTCTCACACTCACACTCAACACTCTTGTCACACTCAACACTCTTGTCACACTCAACACTCTTGTCACACTCAACACTCTTGTCACACTCAACACTCTTCTCACACTCAACACTCTTCTCACACTCGTACATTAAACAATGGAGTGTTTCTCGAGTATGCGTAACCACTGACCGGTTGTATAACACACTCGGTGATATTGGCCCCCTTCGCGTGTTTAAGATTACGAACTAAGCCTCGAACCCCGTGTGAGTCGATGAATTGCCAGCACTCGGGGAGTCGCGTTCCTTCCGTCTCTTTGACACGGTTTTGTGTGTTGCGCTTGTTGTGTTGCAGAACAGGCGGTGGTGTCGGCTGAGCAAGCGACCGAGTCGCAGCCCCAGGTAAGATGCTGGCACGGCCAACGCCAGGAGGCCGCTCATTCCGGAAATTAGATCCAGAGCGCGTTTTCATGAAAGCAACAATACGTTTGTTTTTGTAAATATGTATTCGCACGGTCGATTTAAACCATTGGTTAAGCAGGCGACGTACCGCCTGATGGACTTAAACGGTTTGACATGATTTCCGACGAATGAGTTTCAAGATAAATGTGTTGTCTTGGATACAATACTCACCACAGTATGATATTCTGCGTGAGACAGACTTCAATGAAAAAATACTTTCAATTTGCCGAGTGGGGTCATGTACTCGGCCAGTCTGGGATAAGGTGAATGTATAATGAAATGAGGCCTGCTTGAATTACAGTTTCAACAGACTTATCTGCAGTACTACATAATATAATTTAAATGCTGATAGACTACAACAGAGAACAGCACTGGGCATCTGCTACAAATACTGCACTATAACATGCAGAGTTGCATAAATATGGTGCAGATCTCAACCTAGTTGTTACAAAAGTAGGAGAGAGTTTGAGAGGTAAATAAATGTGAGGTGTAGGTGCACACTTTGAGACATACAAGTTGAATATTCCCAGTGTGGACCAGAACATGTCTTTGCATGACTGACAGCAGAGTGATAGGCAATTAATCCAGCAGTGGATTGACAGTGCTGTTGTACATTATTGCCATTACTGGGGTCAAGTTTGCAATGTAGAGCACACTTGCCTTTTAGTAATGAGGTGAAACGTTTAGACTACAACGTGAGGGGTGGGGAGGGAGGGAGGGAAGAAATGGGGTGGAGAGTTATGTATACAGTTCTCTTTTCTATCTGACCAAATGGTCTGCAAATGAGCTTGTCATTTTACATTATATGCTTGCAAATGTCTGACTTGATGCACACTCCTGAATCACACATTGTAATATATATGCATATCACCAGTGGCTGATGTTCATTCAAGTTAACATGATTTATATGGGTGCCTGGAAATCAACGAGCAGATGGTGAGATACCATACATAAATGCAACAAGCTCAGCGCCAGTCCTCGTACGGTGTGAAGTGACGACAACCTATGCAGATGTAAGCAGTTGTAGCGTTGACCCTAACCATCTCTTAAAGTTAACATAACCACAACTCCTATTCATTGTTTAATGTGACGGATTTATGAAGATGGAAGAGCAGGAATCGAAATACAATTCAATGATTTAAATTTTAACTAAGTTTTTATTCTGAAAATTTAAACCTGTTGCGCTTTTGCAAACTGCATTCTCAAAACGGAAGTTTCCTTTGCAGGGACCTGAAAATCCACATGCAGAGTTCGGACTTGCAGACAGTATCCAGGTATATTGCATCTGCACACTTCCATCTTCCATTTGGCTTCTGTTCTTGCAGATATTTCAACTTAACATACAAACCAAAAACCCCACTGCTATTGTACTTCATTACAGAAAATCATGGAGAGCGAGAGGGTTGGCGGGGACCGTTCCAAGCAGAAGGTGGACCTGCAGGCGCTGCCTACGCGTGCATATCTTGACCAAACAGTGGTGCCTATCCTCCTCCAGGGGCTGTCTGTACTTGCCAAGGACAGGTGCTTATGCTCTTTTACCTGGTAGAAACATTACCACGTTATTCAGTCATATGTTTGTATATTAACTGTTTAAAAACAAATCTCTTAATCACACTGTTAGAGACTTAATATGAAAAGACCATACATTGTCACAGCACTTGAGCTACAAGTGATTTAGCAAGAATCACCCTAATAAGACCCCCCATCTGCTGGGCATTATGGTGCCTCTAGGGGAAGGTACAGCATACAGCGAAGCCTACTGACATGGGACAACAATTGCAACGAAAGTCATAAGAGCGAAGCTCACAAAGGCAAAAGGAGTCGTGGTAGTATTCAATAACATATGGAGAAGCAAAAAAATCAGCGACCAAACGGAACATTTTACGTGCATGTTCGGTACAGCTTTTTTATGCCTGCGAAACTTAGACATTGGCATTCGAAATATATTGCTGTAGGATAGTGCGTGTAAACTGGACCAAAAGAGTGACCAATATAGAAGTAATAAAAAGGTTGCACATAGAAGAAGACCTGATGATGCAGGCAGTGATGAGAAGGAAACTGACACAGTTTGGACACCTGTAGAATGAACAACAACAAGCAAATTTAAAGTGTATTGTTTGAAAAAATTAAAGGAATCGGAAAGAGAGGAACATCTAATGGGGCATGACGTGGCACTACTTAAATAAATTGGCAATAGATAGGAAAGTGTAAACAATGACCAATGTGAAGTCGACACCTACAGCCCATCTGCCCATGGATCGTGGTGATGATGATGACAGCATACAGTTTTGCCATTAGCCTGTGCATATCGATTCCCCAATTTTTGTGTAGATATTCTTCATGCAATATTTGAAAATAAATTGGTCCAATGCTGCACTCAGGACCTTTTTAGTATGTGTTTTTCTCTGTAAAGTATCAATTTAAAGTCTATTAATGGTCTGTTGAGGCTCACTAACGAAACCATTTTTTATTTGTCTTATGTTTCATTGCAGACCACCAAATCCTATTGAGTACCTGGCAGCATATTTAATGAAAAACAAGGCTCAGTATGAAGACAAGAACTAAACCTCGGAAGAATGTGCTTGAGAGATAGAAATGTGCATTTGCAAATGCGTGCTCTGGATAAGGTTATATAAACTTGTTTGTTTTTTGGAGAACCATGGTTTTTCTATTTTGATTTTTTACCATCAGTTGTATTGAATTATGACCATTAGCTGTTAAGATGCAGTTGACTTGAATTTTGAAAAAGTGAATCACAATGATTTGACATTGTATTGTTTAAGTTGTCAATAAAAATTAACACGCTTATTATTCAGAGTTACAGGCTTACAATTTTACTGTCTCATGATAATTTCTTGGCAAGTTATGAAAAACAAATCGAAGTGGTTTCCTACTTAGGCATGTGTGTCCTCTCTTGCTGTCAGCCCTGACCCAGTGTTGGAAATGTCACATTCCTCTTAACCAGTTTGTTTCAGGAGTTAAACAGAACATACATTGCACGACTTGGTATGAACAGTTATTCACGGTAACTACCCCCATTATATATTTTTTATTTCGCAGAGCCTTGCTCATAGTGTTCCACTCAATATGTACAGGTTAATGTTGTTTAACATTGTAAAGTATGAAAATTTTAAGTGATAAAATAATTCCAAGCATCGTACTTAATATTAAAATATCTTAAAGTTTATATGGGTGAAGGTTGCCTGCATACCAGGAACCGTCCAGCATTACCATATCCATAGTTTATCCTTTTGTCCAAGGTTTTACTACTATAGACCTAGACCATATGCAATGTTGCAGTTCTATAGGCCAATTGGAATGCTCATTTAAACATGGAGGAGAGTAAATAATGCATTCACAAATGTGTTTTGGGTTAAATTTCACACTGGAATATGGTAAAAACGAATAAAGCTACACGCCTGAAATGTTTTGCAGTTACCTATGTGTACTTCTAAAAATTTCTTACTAAGAAGGCTTATAGTATGTTCAGGAAATTTGTCTGAACATGTTATACCTTTACAAATGAAACAGGCTGATGACATTTTTTCCTGTCCCTTATTAAGTTCACTTTAAATCCGTATCAATTAAGAATGTTATTTCAAGAGTTTGGGAGAAAAAACTGGGCAAAGTAGGGGCAATTTCTTGACTTAAATCTTTCGTGACAGATGGGATCAGATCACGAATTTTATGGACTTAAATCGAACCAGGATCTTGTGTTTGCTCATGATTTTGGAAATCTTTTTGGTGACCCCTGCTATGCATGGCAAGGTGATGGTTTTGATTGGGTCCTCAGATGTTTCTTTCCCAACGGTTGTGGTGATAGCTTTACGGATTGTGTAGTCTGAATATCCATTCATTTTGCGAGCTTGGTGCACGTGTTTCAGTTCACTGGCTAGGTGGTGATGGTCGGAGATACATCGAGCTCTATGGTGTAGAGTTTTGATGAGGGAATTCTTCTGGGATGGATGGTGGTGGGAGTCAGGTTTTACGTCTGCATCAGTATGGGTTACTTTCCTGTAGACAGAGTAGCCCCTTGAGCCATCTGGTCTCTTTTCGATTAGAACATGGTAGCTTGCCATCCTTTTCTACCTCCATGGTGAATTTGATGGCTGGGTGTATGGAATTGATGTGGTTGAATTGGTTCAGAGCTGGTCGGCCATGTGACCAGATGACGAACGTGTCATCTACGTACCTCTTCCACAAAGATGCACGTAGAGTGGATGCCTGGATGGCATTTGTCTCAAAAATTTCCATGAAAACATTGGCTACAACCAGAGATAACTGGCTGTGATGTTTCCATCTTGTCACCTTCCGATGTTAAGTTTTATTTGACTAAAAATGGGACAATTCCAGTTTTCGCTGTCGCACCCAAAGGCTGTTAATTTCTCCAGGGCTCATGCGCCTACCCTTCTCTTGATTCTCCGATTTTACATGAACATAACCATCTCCGCTTGAAGTTGGGCATGCGACAAGTACAACAAGTTGTTAATTTCCCACATTAACATAACCCACTTCGTTGGGCGCACTGCAAGTGCGGTGTTGCTGGCCCTAGGGCACCTGTAGCCCGCCTCCTTCGTTCTGACACTTGGGCTACGCCCAGCTCAAACCTTTAAAGACAGCTTGCCTTTGGGAGCTTCACCCCTTATTTCCGCCTGAAAACGGTCGCTTGTGTCGCGATCGAAACGTCGTGTTTTTTTTGTTTATTTTTTTAAAGTAAATTTTTAAAAGACCCAAAGAATAAGTCGGGGCAACCAAATGTTCAGGTCCTGATGCTCATGGATAAAACTGACAGTGAAAATTACCCATGTGTAGGTGAAACTGATGACATTCAAGCCAAACAAACTTCCATACCAAGGTCGTGGTAAGTGCTCATTATAGAATGTAAAAGTTGCCAGTAACAACATCATGATTAAAGTAATGTATATATCAGGGGTACCGTTTTCCACAACAATATTTTTAAATTATGATTTTTTTCCATTCGTGACTTTTGCATTCTACAATGAGCATTATCACGACAATCGTTTTTCAGCAATGGATGTAGAACTACATTCCTGTTATTTACAACATTAATCTGACACTACCGCATATGCACAGCCCTGAAAGAGGATGTGCCCTTGTATTAAAATCATCATGAAGTAGCGTCTTCCAGATCTGGTCACTTCGGCTTGAGACTTGCTGGGAGAATGTGACTGGCCCCTTTTGCACTGAACAATATTGCATACGGCCTATTTCTAAAGTAATGCGGGTAACTGCATTGGACAAAAGGAGAAACAACATTCAGATGGCGATGTGTGCTGGAGGTAGTCGGTGCACTGATAAGGATGGAGGAGCGCCGATTTGATGGAGTTCTTCGAGCGGGAATTGACAATGTCACGCCAGAGTGGGATCCACGTTACAGGGCCCCGAGAGAGATTCATGTTCAAGGGCCACGCAACACAACGGGGCATTCACGTTCCTGGGCCCCCCCCCCCCCGGAAACGCGCAATTCACGTTGCAGAGCTCGGAAGAGAAATTCCGGTTCCAGGGCCCGGACAGGGACGAATTCACGTGCCCGGGCCCGCAGACAACAGCGAATTCACATTGCAGGGCCCCGGCTCACGTGACCGAGGGGGGGTGGGTGAGCGCTTGAGCGAAAGAGGGTGAGTGAGAGTAAGAGAGAGAGTGAGTGTGTGGGTGAGTGAGGATGAGGGTAAATGAGTGTGAGGGTGAGTGAGAGAGTGAGAGAGGGTGAGTGTGAGAGGATGAGAGTGAGCGTGAGAGAGGGTGAGTGAGAGAGGGTGAGTGTGTGAGTGTAAAGAGGGGTGAGCGAGGACGCGATAAGGTGAGCTAGGTTGGTAAGGGGAGTGAGAGAGATTTCGGCTGAGTGAATCCCCCCGGGCAGGAGGAGGGAGGGTGGAGGCGATGGAGCGACGCATCGAGTGCATCCTCTTCAGCGAGTTCCATCCCACGGCAGGGCCCAAGATCACGTTCCAGGCAGGGCCTCGCTGGGGCCTCCGTCTCGGCCTCTTCACACCGCAGCTATCGTGCACCACCACCACCACCACCCTACACCCACCCGGCTCTCTCTGAACAAAGTGGCGCCGCACGAGAGGCGAACAAACACGAGGGCGGGGACTCTGGGAGAGAACTCGCGGCCTCGTCGCTTGCCGCAGCAGCAGCGGCAGCGAGGCCTCGTGCAGCAGTAGCTCTGCAGCAGCAGCAGTACGACACCTCGTGCAGCAGCGAGGCCTCGTGCAGCAGCAGCAGCTGCACGAAGCGTCGTGCAGCAGTACGACGCCTCGTGCAGCAGCTGCACGAGGCGTCGTACTGCAGCGAGTGGAGGCGGAAAGTCCGAGGCGAGGTGACGAGAGAGGCGGGCGAGGGGTGCACCTTGCGGTCAGGGCGTTAGGATAAGGGACCGGCCATAAATGACGTCACGAATCTAGGGGGGGGTCAGACATTTGTGACGATGTGTGACAAGGGGAAGGGGGTGGTTGAGAAATGTGACGTCACATCAAAATTCGCAACTTTAAATAAATATAGACAACACGTTCTACTTAATTAAATAGACTTTTTTTTTTAAATAAATGTTTCTCCTACAACATCAGAGTGCAGCGCCACATGAAATACTCACTACAACGACAATAGTTTAAAGCGATTTGAAGCATGTTTTATTTGGGGGGGGGGGGGCAGAGCTTTGTGACGTCATATTTGAGGGGGGGGGTCTGACTTTTTGTGACGCCGTGTGACTAGCGGGGGGGGTCCAAAATCGCGTGACGTCATTTATGGACGGGCCCCTATCAGTATTTACTAAATGGGATCTTATTTTTGTTGTTGCCAGTATCAAAGTATTAAAAAAAAACAAGGATAGGTTTTCACCCTTTCTGGCAATAAAATATGTTCCTTGCACAAGAATATCTGACCACGTGTTTTATTACCATCAAGGGTTTTCATACTAACAATGTTTAACTTGAATACACCAATGGGGCTTTAGTGGTGTCTTGCATAGCCGCAGATGTGGGAAGCGCCGCTTCTTAGCTTGTTTGGACCGTTGATTGTACAATGTTTGGAGTTTCTGGTTGCACAAGATGCATTGTAGACAAAAGTGTTCATTTTAAGGTCCCCCTTGAAGGCATTCGTGCACGAAAGGGCTGAAGGCAGTGCCCGGCTCGCCTGTTACAAACAACACGAACTATACTATTCACTCCAACATCCCCCATCAATAAAATGTGCAAACGTTTACAGCACTGATCAACGCGATCATAATACAATTTGTCTGCGTTGAAGACTTACACGCGTCAACGGATACGTGACAGATTAAACACGTGCTGTACAGTTTTAATAATTGATACGCAGTTGATCATAAGCAGTTCCTGTGATAAATATTTCAATAACTAGATCTGCCGATTTTGTTTTAACATATTTGTATTATGTCCACTTAATGGTTCGTTAAGGGTGAAATTTGAATAATTGTATCTGTGGTATGTGGATTTGGTTTGCTATAGAACAGATTTGTGCGGTATTTAGACGCTGTATAAATCTAAATTAATATTTGTGATTATCCAGCACTAACTAAAGCATTAATTTCTGAATTCAAATGAAATCACATTCGTGTGACATTAAATTACAAATAAAGTTGTCCATACAATGCAGCCGTGGACAGTAAACTGATTATTCTACACATGACGCTCGGATTTCAGTATTTAAAGAGTCTTGGTTCCAAAGAAAACTTGAGTTTAGATATGATTAGAGGAACAGATTGGATGGAGAGGGATTGAAGGTGGCTGTTGTCATTATAAATGCCTTCCTACCTAATTTTGTGAAAGCCTTTGTGGGAAATTATTGCATCTTTGCGGTGTTTGTGGTGTGTTCCAAGGCCGTAATTATAATATATATTCAAATATGCTCAAAATGCCCCCCCCCCAATATATCGCTATAAAATAGATTTCTGTTTATATGATTGTGGTTATAGTTGTACTTTATTAATCCCTAATCTCTGCCATTACATACAATGAAACAAGAAATGGTAAGAAAGTAAAAACGGAGCAATGCAATACAATATACACTATTAGACATTATTGTAAGCAAAAAATCAATCCCATGTGTTGGTGAATTTTTAAATATTTTAGGCAGGAAATTCGTTTTCAAATTTAGATTTTTTTTTCTGGGGGGAGACCCCCGGACCTCCTGGATGATTTGCCCCCCCACCCCCCCCCCCCCCAATGTTGACTCCATGGCTACAGCCTTGGTGTGTTCGTATATTCCGTTCTGATTTACAGCGCATGAGTGTTGATGCATCATCCTTGGTGCGTTTTGACCTGCAGGTTCCAGAGGATTACATCTCAAAGGAGTTCTTTGATACCATTCAAGTTTACATCATCACCAAACCTGAACTACAAAATAAACTTATTACAGTGTAAGACAAAACACATTTTTTCATTTGTTGTAAGTTCTATTGTTTATTAATTCGTTTATCATTCGTGCAGCAGAGAACCTTAAGGTAAATATGGAGCACATTTGTCTTACCAGTGATAGAAAATTTGCCATTTTAATGTTTGATACATCACTAGAACAGTGGCAAAAGTATAATATTAAGTGTTACATTTCAATCATGCTTTTAAACATTGTTCAGCTTCAGAAATGTAACCATTAATTCATTTAAAATGTACAGTGCTTAAGGAATACGTATTTATCATTGGGTGAGGTTAATTGGCAACATGCTGGATATCTAAGCCAGTGGTTAGAAAGTATCTGCTCTTGAATAGAACCTGATATAAAAGGGTTATTGCTAAGACAGTGGTCCGTTGTTACTTGATTCCACAAATAACAGACATCTGGCCAGGAAGACCCTGACACTGAGATGATACTGGGCACGACCATTGTCCTATTTAGCTTTTGTGCCTGTTTCTTTAAAGATTATGACGTTTGGTTTCGCCCCAAAATTGTACCCTTCTGACCTATTTCTGTGACTACTAGGTGATTGCATAAATGATTACAACTCAGGTTTTCGGGTGTTTCTTTTTGCCTGCAGGACGGCTCTTGGAAAGAAGGTGATTGGCTGCCCGGTGTGCATCGAGAACAAGAAGTATTCTCGCAACGCGCTGCTCTTTAACATGGCCTTGGTGTGCGATGCGGCTGCCAAGACCTGTTCTCTGGAGCCTATCGTTAAGAAGCTCTCCACCTACCTCAAGACATTGGAGGTGCCTGCCTTTTCTTACACCTTAACCAGAACTCTGCAACCTTATAACTTACTTCCATCAGTCTTGGTTGCTTGGTGTAATTGTTGAACAAGCCATGCTTCTGCAGTGGTGACCAATGAATCATTAAAACAAACCATTGCTTGGTCCCACCAAAATGATGCTGACTCGGAGGTATTAATTTTACCCACCTTCTGAGATCTGATAAGACTGAGCTAATGATGACCAGAATTGGAACTTGTGATTTTACAATTTCACACTTGATTTATTTAACTCTTGTGGCCATTACCTTTCTCACACTTTAATTACAGAAGTCAATATATCAACGTAAACTCTCGCCAAGGGTAATGTCTCCTATTGTTCTGTGCGCCATGCCTTCCTCCTCTGACCCCAATCTGTCTTTCACCTGCCTCTATCTAACAAAGTGTCCCTCTCGCTCTCCGAGTACAGCAGGAGAATGGATTCATCTCCAACGAAGAGAGTAAGCAGAGGCTGCCGCGCATCATGGCCGAGCTGTTGTCGGAGCTCAATTCGTCCGGGAGATGCTCCATTCCTGTCGGTGAGCGGAACGGTCTGCGAGTTCCTCTAGGTCAGGGGTCGGCAACCGAAATAACAAGAAGAGCCATTTTGTTTCGAATTCGGTTTAAAAAAAACATATTTACAGTCGTAATACACGGTGAATACGAGACGGCGGTCCTTAATAAATAACGTCATGAAGCGGGAGTCCTCAAAAGAGCCGCGCGTGGCACCAGAGCTACAGGTTGCCCGACCCCTGGTCTAGGTCAGCGTACGACGTTTCGGTACCTGCCTACATGCTTGGTGTTTCCGAGTTATATGATTGTTTCCGATTGATTTTGCTGCAGGAAAAAAAACAAATATCTATTTGGGCCACCACAATTATTGCATTACTTTGAGCCTATGTTAGTCCAGTGCTGGAGAAAATGTTTTACTTGAATTGCAGTGTATTATTGATTAGTCTGAACTAACTGCCCTTGATGTCTTTTTCATCTGTTCTATTATTCAAGGACTGTCAATCAACCTTCATACTCAGCATCACCGACCAACTTGACTGACCTTACTTCAGCATTAGTTCCTGGCTAAACTGTCTGCCCTCACAGAAGTTACCGAACAGCTCCACAAACATATTTGTAACTAGCTTCATTACCCGGCTTCGCCCAAGACTTGGATTTTTGTCTTGGATTAATACACGGTCTACGCGGAGGGTGGGGGGGGGGATGCGTGACGTCAGCAGGCACACTGCGTGACGCTGCCGCATGCGGGTGACTTCACAGACGTGACGTCACCGCTCACTTCCAGTGCAAAATATATCCATTATTGCACCCCCCACCCAAAATACAAAGTCTATTTTTTGACTTTTTGCATTGTGTACAGTCTGGAAGCTGCCCACATGCCAAATTTCAAGTTTGTTGCATGTTGGGAAGTATGCTAAACATTTCGAACAGACACACATATTCACAAATTTCCCTTTTTTATATACATAGATGAGCATTGTAAATAACTTTTGACCAAATTAGCCGGAATACGTTCAACCTCATCAGATCTGGAAGCTAATCAAGATTGAGCCTGGAATGTTGGCACTAAATTTACTCATAATTGACACATGTGAACGTACAAACCGCGTTGTGAATTTGTCCTTGTTTACATATCACGTCTGATGGACGACCAACACGTACGCATTATAGGCTTTGGGACTACACTGGGCAGCAGACAGCAGTGCAGCAATATACATTGTCATGCTCCATGTCTCACTAACCCACACCGAACAGCGCACTGAAGTATGAAAAATTAACCCCCATGACCCATGTGGCATGGGGAAGGCCCTAATATAGCCGTGGATTGGCTCAAGGGCTGTACATGTACGTATGCACATTGGGGATCGTTCTTGGCCGTTGCTCGGGCGCTGTGCAGACGAGTCCAACACGATCCACGTGAAGGTGGTCCCACAGCGACGTGCCCCGGCCGTGGTGCAGGAGTACGACGTCCCCGTGTTCACGGAGCCCCGCGATGCTCGCGACTTCAGCCAGTGGGACCTCACCACCCAGCAGGTGAGGGCATCACCTTGTCCACAATGCAGCGTTCGGTCAGGGAGACCTCGCCATCGAACAAAGATGGTCACTGCATTGTGCGCTGTCGGATGTGCTTCTGTAGCCGTCTGGAACACTCTTCCTTCTTATGTTAGGAAGCCCACATGAGCTATGCACTTTTAAATCATCACCTAGATTGAAAACCCATTTCTTTAGAACACTGGTTTTTTTGTTTAGTTTGTTGTCTTTCCCCTGCACCTCCGATTAACAGGGTCGGCTACGTACGGTGCAAAATAAGTTCTACACACGTACAACATATGTACACTACCCAGCAGTGTGCAGCTAGTAAGACCTCAAGCCAGCGGCTCCGCTTCTTTCGTCGGGAAAGGAATTGATCAGCAGCGTTTCTATATTCATGTCATGGTTGGTGAAACATTGGATGGCTTCAGGATAGGGTTCTTAAACTATAATCGGTAAATTGGAAACCGTTTTCAGAATCGATCACCGGTTCCAAAGTCAGGAACCAGTAATTGTTATCCAGTATAATTTTAGTGATGAATGCAGATTAATGCACGCGAATGTACAAACCACGAAGTACATTTGCCCTCGTTTCTCAGTTAAACGGTAAAGGCGCAACCCAGCAATTGCTAATTTGCTTGCCCGCACCACTACTTGGAAGTAGTCCTCTACTTACGATGGAGATGCGTTACGACGACCCCCACATCAGAAGTCAAAAACATCATAAGTCGAAGATGGCCTAGCCTACCCAGGAGTCTTAAAGAATGGTGATAATTTAGCAAAACAGAGCAATTTACAGTACCATACTGTATGAACTATATACTGTATGTATTTATTAATTACAATACTGTATTGCACAGTAAAATGTAAAGTAAAAAAAGGTAAATTCTTAGCCTACCTATATGAACTGCAATTTAATAGAAAGTTTTTTTCAGGAAACAATCCTATCTGCTATAAAAACTTTTAACATGCATTGAACGTATCGTGGTAAACCTAAAATGAAATCGCTAAAGCTACGTATCATACATGCATTGAACGTATCGTAACGTATCATTCTACTGTACTCACCAAGATTCGTACCTTGTACGCTGCTGCGTTTGCCTGCCGCGCGAAATTAAAAATATTTTACAGTTTTGTCGTATCGCTATCGCCATCTTAAGATGGAAATATCGTAAGTCGGACCATCGTAACTCGGGGACTATCTGTAGTTGGTGTACCGACGCTACCCTATGGTACGTGACCTGCTGATAGACTGGCCGGTGTTCCCTTTTATACTGCCGGATGGGAACAGAGGAGCGGGGATTTGAGCATCTTTACCCATTGTTTCAACTGGTCCATGGTTTGAGATTGGTGAATGCAGTCGCACTGTGGGCTATCCTTAATTGTAGCCAGTAGCTGGGCCAGCCCCCTGCTTACCTTCCACGTCGGGGGGAGATTTTACTCTCATTACAAATGGTGAAGCCACACTGTGCTCGTAGCAGCCACGCACGCATGCTGCCATGCGTATGTCGTGAAATGCTGCACAGTGTGAGCGTAAAGGATGGTGTCGTGGGGTGTGTGCGCTCTGTGGACACAGAGGTGTGGATATGTCTGTTGTTTACTGTGCGCCCTACGGCCGCGCAGATTGTGCCGTATATGGACGGGTTCCGGCAGGTGCGAAGGATCGCCGACGAGGCTGATGTGGAGCTCAACCTCGTGCGCATTGCCGTACAAAACCTGCTGTGAGTGCCCCAGTAAACCCTGAGAAGAACACTACTCCCATCCCTGAGCGAGAATACCGTGAAAATGTTGTCCCTTCGCAAAAAATACATATATCTGCACTGATACAATAACTGTGTTCGCACCAATGAATTGTACAGTGTGTTCTCCCAAATTTTCTTCTGTTTGTAATAATTAACCCAGTCTCTGATACTGTGCGTAGTACATTCAGTACTAAATTATTTGCAACTGTCTTACAGGTACTATGATGTAGTCACCATTGTTCCTATATTCCAGGTAAGATTTACTGCACAACTACTGAACACCCTCTCTGTTTCCAAACAAAATACTTGTTTAGGGATGTATCTATTTATCGAATAAAATGTTGTGAAAAAAAATTGCAAGGCAAGTGAGATGCTTGTGTGTGTTTGTGCGTGTGCATAGTATTCCAATGTGTACTGCCCAACGCCTGGGCTGCAGCAGCTGACCGATGACAAGGCTCTACAGGAGGAGTGTCTCGCCTACATCACCAAGCCAGGTACGCTTCGTGTCCGCGTGGGCAACAGCGTTATGTGTACACGCGTGCGTCACTGTGTAGCCTCATGTACCCGTGTTTCAATTGAGCATCTGTTAAGACGTAACGCTTGGATATTTCCTGTGCCCTTCTGCCGCTGAACCTTTGGAATTCCATCCTGTCTTGGTGCACTTGGCATGCATCAAGCACCTCGGATTAGCCTGGTTGGCTATGTGCGGCGCGAAATAAGTTCTACGTACATACCACCACTTAGTAATGACTAGTGTCACAAAAATCTGCATATTCCAAGAATGGAATATTTGCAGACTACTGTCTTTTTTTATCTGACAGAAGTAAACATTTAGCAAACAGTGCTTTTACATAGGTACAGTGAGGGAAAACAGTATTTGATCCCCTGCTGATTTTGTACGTTTGCCCACTGACAAAGAAATGATCATGTTCTTAGTTCTTTCGGTAAAGTCACGTTGAAGGGAAACAATAAAATAATAAAATATATATAAAACAATAAAAATTCTCACGACGTTTCGACCATAACACAAACGGTCGTCATCAGGTGTGTCGGTTTGCATAAATGTATTTATTTTTAAACGGTGTATTTATTTATAAAAACCGTTAGTGCCACGCGCAGCGATTTGGCAGTTTATTTAGAAGGACTAGTCCATCTATGTTCTGAAAAGAGGAGGGGGGAGACGAAAAATTAATGTACGCTGTCTGAAAGCCACTGTAAGCGTGAACAATCAATTAAGACCTGAAATGGTTTATCAAATCTTTCCAATGATTGCTAAGCCAGAATCCATCTTCTCGGTTGAAATTGTCTCTGTGCTTGTATATGTGGATAGCTCATGAACGAATCTCTCATGGTAGCCAGATGGCTTACAAATAACCTCTGTCTTGGAAAAGTTAATGTCATGTGAGCCTACTGAATTATAACAATGATCTGCCACGGCCGAGGTGTTGGTCCTACCGTGTTTAAGGTCTGCTTTGTGTTCACGAATGCGGTCCGAGACATGGCGTTTGGTTTCTCCAATGTAACTACTACCACAGAGGCAACTTAGTTTGTAGACACCAGGGTATTGTATGTCCGGAATCACATCTTTTACAGACGGAACCAGATCACGGATTTTATGTAATGTGTTGAAACGGACCTGGATCTTGTGTTTATTCAAGATTTTGGAGATCTTTTTTGTGATCCCCACAATGTAGGCTAAAGTGATGGTTTTGAAAGGCTCCTCAAGAGGGTCCTTCATGGTTTGAGTGATAGCTTTGCGGATTGTATAGTCGGAGTAACCATTAGCCTTAAGAGCTTGGTGTACGTGCTTGAGTTCACTGCCTATGTGTTCCTGGTCGGATATGCATTGGGCTCTATGATACAGAGTCTTGATGAGAGAATTCTTCTGTGATGGATGGTGGTGGGAATCCGGTTTCAGATAAGCATCCGTATGGGTAGCTTTCCTGTAGACAGAGTGGCTCATTGAACCATCAGGTCTCTTTTTAATTAGGACATCCAAAAAAGGTAGCTTGCCATCTTTTTCGACTTCCATGGTAAATCTGATGGCTACCTTTTTTGGATGTCCTAATTAAAAAGAGACCTGATGGTTCCGTCTGTAAAAGATGTGATTCCGGACATACAATACCCTGGTGTCTACAAACTAAGTTGCCTCTGTGGTAGTAGTTACATTGGAGAAACCAAACGCCATGTCTCGGACCGCATTCGTGAACACAAAGCAGACCTTAAACACGGTAGGACCAACACCTCGGCCGTGGCAGATCATTGTTATAATTCAGTAGGCTCACATGACATTGACTTTTCCAAGACAGAGGTTCTTTGTAAGCCATCTGGCTACCATGAGAGATTCGTTCATGAGGCTATCCACATATACGAGCACAGAGACAATTTCAACCGAGAAGATGGATTCTGGCTTAGCAATCATTGGAAAGATTTGATAAACCATTTCAGGTCTTAATTGATTGTTCACGCTTACAGTGGCTTTCAGACAGCGTACATTAATTTTTCGTCTCCCCCCTCCTCTTTTAAGAGCATAGATGGACTAGTCCTTCTAAATAAACTGCCAAATCACTGCGAGTGGCGCTAACGTTTTTTATAAATAAATACACCGTTTAAAAATAAATACATTTATGCAAACCGACACACCTGATGACGACCGTTTGTGTTATGGTCGAAACGTCGTGAGAATTTTTATTGTTTATATATATTTTATTATTTTATTGTTTCCCTTCAACGTGACTTTACTGAAAGAACTAAGAATATGAATTACTGCAGTCACGAAAGCTTTAAATCAAAATTTGAAGAAATGATCAGTCTATAATTTTAATGGTAGGGTTATTTGAACAGTGAGAGACAGAATAACAACAAAATCCAGAAAAACGCATGCCAAAAATGTTATAAATAGATTTGCATTTTAACGAGGGAAATAAGTATTTGACCCCCTCTCAATCAGAAAGATTTCTGGCTCCAGGTGTCTTTTATACAGGTAACGAGCTGAGATTAGGAGCACACTCTTAAAGAGAGTTGAGAGTGCTCCTAATCTCAGCTTGTCACCTGTATAAATGACACCTGTCCACAGAAGCAATCAATCAGATTCCAAACTCTCCACCATGGCCAAGACCAAAGAGCTCTCCAAGGATGTCAGGGACAAGATTGTAGACCTACACAAGGCTGGAATGGGCTACAAGACCATTGCCAAGCAGCTTGGTGAGAAGGTGACAACAGTTGGTGTTATTATTCGCAAATGGAAGAAACACAAATGAACTTGTCAATCTCCCTCGGCCTGGGGCTCCATGCAAGATCTCACCTCGTGGAGTTGCAATGATCATGAGAACGGTGAGGAATCAGCCCAGAACTACACGGGAGGATCTTGCCAATGATCTCAAGGCAGCTGGGACCAGAGTCACCAAGAAAACAATTGGTAACACACTACGCCGTGAAGGACTGAAATTCTGCAACGCCCGCAAGGTCCCCCTGCTCAAGAAAGCACATATACATGCCCGTCTGAAGTTTGCCAATGAACATCTGAATGATTCAGAGGACAACTGGGTGAAAGTGTTGTGGTCAGATGAGACCAAAATGGAGCTCTTTGGCATCAACTCAACTCGCCATGTTTGGAGGAGGAATGCTGCCTATGACCCCAAGAACACCATCCCCACCGTCAAACATGGAGGTGGAAACATGCATGCTTTTGGGGGTGTTTTTTCTGCTAAGGGGACAGGACAACTTCACCGCATCAAAGGGACGATGAACGGGGCCATGTACCGTCAAATCTTGGGTGAGAACCTCCTTCCCTCAGCCAGGGCATTGAAAATGGGTCGTGGATGGGTATTACAGCATGACAATGACCCAAAACACACGGCCAAGGAAACAAAGGAGTGGCTCAAGAAGAAGCACATTAAGGTCCTGGAGTGGCCTAGCCAGTCTCCAGACCTTAATCCCATAGAAAATCTGTGGAGGAAGCTGAAGGTTCGAGTTGCCAAACGTCAGCCTCGAAACCTTAATGACTTGGAGAAGATCTGCAAAGAGGAGTGGGACAAAATCCCTCCTGAGTTGTGTGCAAACCTGGTGGCCAACTACAAGAAACGTCTGACCTCTGTGATTGCCAACAAGGGTTTTACCACCAAGTACTAAGTCATGTTTTGCAGAGGGGTCAAATACTTATTTCCCTCATTAAAATGCAAATCAATTTATAAAATTTTTGACTTGCGTTTTTCTGGATTTTGTTGTTATTCTGTCTCTCACTGTTCAAATAAACCTACCATTAAAATTATAGACTGATAATTTCTTTGTCAGTGGGCAAACGTACAAAATCAGCAGGGGATCAAATACTTTTTTCCCTCACTGTATACGCAGGATTACCAACACAAACACAATGTGGTCACACACAAGAGCACATAACTCTACAGAAGTGCACACACATAGGATAGAGTTGTCTGTGACCACATTGTGTTTGCGTGTTGGTAATGCTTTATGTTAAAGCACTCCTATATATTTACTTCTGTCAGATTTAAAAGAGACATGGGTAGTCTGCAAATATTACATTGGTATATGCAGATTTTGTGGCATAAAGATTTCACAGATACAAGTAAGATTTGGAAAAATACCACCACAAGAACTCAGGCAGGAGAATCTGTATCAGTTATATAAGTACAATATTTTTACAAAAATACAAAATGCCCAAGTAGCTTTTGTTTCGCCTGAATATTGGGGTAGTTTTCATTCATGTTTTCCTGTGTCTTTGTGTGCTGGTGTATGTTAATGTGTATATTGTGCTCGTGTCTGTTGTGTTTGTGGGGGCTGGGCTGCGCACAGGTCACAAGCGCGTGTCCCTGCGGGAGGCATTCCTTCTCTACTCAGGCCTGAGTCCTGGGACCACGGTCCGTGACCTGTGCCTGCGACACTCGCCACTCATGCAGCACGTGGACGAGAGGTGAGAGAGACCCCAGGGGCCCAGGTGCTTTTAGTTGCTTCTTTGTGCTCCCACATCTATTGGCCTCGCCTTCACCAAACTGCACTGATCGGCATGGGGAATAATGGTCAAATAAGCTCTACGACCCACACGGCATGGGGAGGCCTTCACTCAGGCCTGTGTATGACGGTGTTTACAGACGCTTGTACAAAAGCACGTATATAATCCGTGCGTGACTGCGTGCAGGAAGCTGGTGCAGTTTGGAGTGATGCGGGGCATGATCCGCCGCTTGCACCGCTTCCCGCTGAAGCTCACGGGGGAGGGAAGAGGAGGGGACGAGGGGAGGGAGGGGAAGGGGAACGAGGGGAGGACAGGCGAAGGGAGGGTCCGATCCTCGCGCTGGTTCTCCGGCTGCCACAGTCAGGACCACATCAGTTGCCACAAAGGTGTGACACTTACACACAATGAGACTGCTGTGCAAATTCACACACATGCATTAACTAACAGGCAAATTATACGCATTAATTCGCATCTTCGAAATATGTGATGATTACGGTATCAGAAATGTTGGCAAAATTTACTGGAAACTTTTAACGGTTTTCAATGCTGCCGAAAGGATGAATAGACATCCATAATCCACATTATTGTGCGTCAGGGGAGCACGAATAATAACAATGGTTTGTGCTTGAAGATGCAATACTAAATTAATCATAACGTGTGTAAATACAAAATAAGGTGGTTGTATACGAGTGAAAACAAACAACGTATTGGCCTAACACGACAGGTGGGATGAGTCATTTTGCAAGCTTCTCAGCTGTGACCTCATTCCCACTTCGACCTGCAAGCGCAAAGCATATAGGGTGAATGGCTCATCACTATCCCCGTGTTGCTTCTATTTACATGGTAATTGTTCTCTTGAATTTAGAAATTGGACTCATCCAAATACCATTACACGTATGCACGGCCTCCCATTCACATTCTGCATGTCTCTTCATGCAAACGATTGCTCATCATGCCGTTCAGTTTATTTTCCCTACGTCAAAGTTATGGAACACATTAGCTGAATTCGTTTTCCTTTAAACTTACCGGGTGCAGCTGTTTAAATAAACCTAGTTATTTTAACACTCTTTCTGCTGCTTGAAAGTCAATGGGCTAAACACACATTTTGATAAAATGGCCAAAGCACATCATGTTGAAGGTTTTCTCTTCTGTTAATGGAGTCATGGGAATGTTGAGCAATAAAAAAAACATACGAAAAGCAACATACATAAATCAACATGTGTACTTTAACCAAACTTCCAAGAAGTCTATAGTCCCTGCAATAGCAGTCGTAAAAAAATATTTTTACACAGAAAAATAGGATCATTACAGAGTTAAGCATTTTTTTAAGTAAGTAGTTAAACGCAGCCTCTTCGAGCTCCAAAATACCATCAACATTTCGTTTGCATTCCCACCGAACTTGTGTTCAAGTGAATCATCTCTGTTGTCTGTTCGAGTGCAGGTTTAAGCTACCGGGAATTGGAAGACATTATCGACAGTGACCCAAATATACTGGTGTGTTGGAAATAACAGCACACCAACAACCATAGGCGGTCTTGTACTTACGCTGTTAACAATTGTTTTGTTGACTGTTAATTATATATTAGAGTTGCACATTATTTATTATGGGATAATGTTAATGTTTCCTTTTCATATGTAATACAAGGTATGTGTAATAAAGATCATTGTGGGTTTTTTGTTTAAGTATGACAAAGTCTTTAAAATGTAAAAAATATTTTACATGACACTGGTTCGGGCCTCGAAGGAATTGTTGGACTTTACGTGTCGCTAAATAAAGGAAGTTACATCGGAAGAACCTGTCTTTTTTTAAGACATCTGTCCAGTCTCTTTGGGCCGCTTATAATGTAAATGTACATGTTGGGCATGTTTTAGTTGCGTTACAAATGCTGTATTCCGCATGTTTTGGAAACAATGTACAGTACCTTATTCGGTTGAGTGACATGCTATAGAATATTTCTGCCCCAACAGACTCAAATTGCCAGATCAATGTTCTTTATTGATTACATTTGCAGAATTCAGCATTGTTTCTTTTGACATGAACTCACTTGGACCACGGTGTTTACAGTTCAGTTTGTGTTTATGATATTGCGCTTGATTATATAACTATCTTGTTTCTGATGCCAATATTGTGATCATTTCTAAGTAAACCTTTGAAAGCCCACATGCTGCTTGGAACCAATCTGGCTGTTAAGTTGCATAAAGCATGTGTTTGTTCTTCACCTGTGTAGGATCATGAAGCACATCAATATTTAGTCTGATCATAGTTCACCATGTTGGACAATGCGGGTTGGTTAAGTTTGAAGATGCTCGAGAACAGTTAAGATTTCACTCGGCACTGGCTTTATCCAGCAATGGCCATAACACATGACATGTATTCCTATTTATATTTTAAGTGCAGTTAGTATTATTTCATCCTGCCGCTGGTTGGAGACTCATGATTCGTTGTTGACTTGTAAATGTGAATGTTTAACTGAAATGTAAATGTCTTTCACAATGTGTTGGACATATTTGCAATCTTTAATAATAAAGACCGCATACCCACGTTTATATTTCCTTCTACAATACTAATACAAAAAAGCAATGATTGTTTTTACAAATAAATTACTGGACAGGTTCCAAAAGTCAGGAACTGGTTCGTTTCTAGTGGAACTGTCGTCGTGAATGCACTGATCGGCACGTGGCGACGTTTCACCACGTGGCAATCAGTGGTGCATTTTCCCTCGTTTTGCAGTTTAAAGGGAACGGTGCTGCCCTGCAATTGCTAAGGCCACTGCTGGTGGAAGGGGCCTCCACTCATAGGAACTCCAGAGAATGTATTTGGTGTACTCTTTCACACTGACCAGACTGTCTTGGAAGAGGTATCCACACTTTATCCTACCACACGCGATTTAAGAAATTTGCCCCATGGTTTAAACTGCCGTGTCGGGAGATGGAATTGAATCCAACAACCTCTGAATTGTAAATCCAGCGAGCCAACAATCACAGCTGTGACGGCAGCTCTCTGTGCCTCCGAGTTGAAACGCATGGATTTTCAATACTGTACATTCTACGTGCAGAAAATCGATTTTGCTTAATGTGTGGTTACCAGTAATGATTGTACGTATGTTGAACTTCATTAGTACCAACTGTGCAAATCGGAGTGGGTGAAGGACAACAAATCGAACAAAAAGCAATCGTGATTCATTAGTAAATTTGACCGCAAATGCGAAACGCCCAATTTATTTATTGCACTGGTGTACCCCAGGAAAGCCCGAGTCTCATGACTCACATTCAGGAGGGTCTTGACAAGTTTTCGTAGTAAGGTGGAGGGGGGGGATATTGTTATTTTCAATTCCAAGTGTGTAATTTGAGTTATTTTTCGTGGCAAATTTGGACCGTGACGCCGGAACGACAATGGTCTATTATTGTGCACGAATTCACGGGATCTTTAACGTCCAGTGAAAGGGGCCGGCGCGTATATTTACGGTTAATTCAACTCCGCGGTAGTAATAACCCTGTACAACTATCTGACCTTTTGATTGGAAAACAAATTTTTATCTCAAATGAATAGAACATAAGTAAAAAAATGTTTGGGGTCTTTCGCTAAAGCCAAATATAAAAATAACATGTTATTTTTTCTATCTATTTGGCTTTACCGACAGACCCAAAGAATATGAATTCCTGCAGTCACGAAAGCTTTAAGTCAAGATTTACAAGTAAACAACTTACCAACAGCAAGAGCAGTCAAAAGGCGAATCTATAACATTCCCACCAACAACACGGAACTACATGAGGCTTTAAGCCAGAGGTGAAATAATCATTGATATCACTTCGTCATTGGCGCTCGCAGCCTCCCACACTAACACAGCTGCCCTCTTGCATCTGCGCATCTTCACGACAGCCTCCAGTTCACTGTATATTTCTCAATATTAAACGCGTCTTCGTGTCGTTGTGGTGGATGTTACAGCAACTGCTATGTCCACCGCGAGGTGGTGGAGCCAGATAATGGCCTGAGGGCGAGTCTCGATGTGCTCTGGAAGGGGGAAATGCGTCATTGTATTCCCAAGATGTTTAGTGAGTACAACTGAGTCGCAGACGTTGTCTTGAGAGCAACACTATTCAATAACTCAACACAACCTACACTTGGGTGTTGAATGCTCATCTAGCCACGCTACGACAGAACTAGACACGGTTCGCTATTCCGGCCCGGACCACAAGCTGGGTCCCGGACCGCGTGGCTAGAGGCTTCTTCTCCCCGACGTGGATCTTCATCACCAGCAACACGAAGAACCCCGAGCCCCTCACGGGGCCCCTGTTATATCGGCCTGGGCCGGGGCTGGCTCCGCCCCTCGCCCCGCCCACCTAGCTCTTTCGAGCTCTTTCCCGAAGGCTCCCGAGAGCTCTTTTATACCACGTGACCGCCCAGCGGCCCCCGTCCACCGGTGGCCCCCCTCCAATATAATCCGATCACGTGTCGGCAGGTCAACCATCGTATCATGCCCCAACGTAACCCTGGCTGGCTGACACTCCCTCTCGCTCCCTCACCGGGAGCCCGCACCGCACACTGCACGTAGTGCCTCCGTGCTGACTAGCGCTCACCCAAGCCCCGCTAGGGCTGGTACTACGCCCAGTAAGCGGGCTACACGTAATGCCAACACATCCGCCGTGGCTTCGTAAGCCCGGCACCACACAGTGACACTCAGTCACTACAGATATAAGCGATATATTAATTTCATTTGAATTTATATGTAGCGCTGTATATAGGGCTATATATACTTAATGCGTCACGCTACTTACCTGCAGTTGCAGACGAGGTCCACCAGGGGCAATACCTCGGACCGGGATAGGGGCCGCTAGATTCCCCAGCCCCGAGGCTAGGGGGGGCTGCGGAGTGTGCTGGGATGCCCCGGGACTCCCCTTGGAACTCTCTGGAAAGGAGGCGTGGCCGGGGGCGGGCATGCCTCCGGAGCTGTATAAAAGCCAGACCTCTGGACGGGTCGAGGCAGCCAGTTGAAGACTGAAGCCCAGCTAGCCAGGACCCTGGGACTCTCCTGACCCGCCGTCCTTGTAAGGGCCCCGGGTCCGAGCGGGCCAGTGGTCGGGACCCGTCCCTTGGCTGGGTCAGGCCAGAATAGCCTCCCCTACGCCACCCTTAGCCAGATGAGCCAGAGATAGCAGCCCAAGGTCGTCGCCATGGAGTCAACATTGGGGGGACCAAATCCTCCAGGGTGTCTGAGGATCCCAACCCAGAAAAATGTCGAAATTTGAAAACTAATTTCCTGCCTAAAATATTGAAAAATTCATGAACACATGGGATGGACTTTTGTTTACAATAATGTCTAATAGTGTATATTGTATTACATTGCTCTGTTTTTACTTTTGACCATTTCTTGTTTCATTGTATGTAATGGCAGAGATTTCGGATTAATAAAGTACAACCATAGCCACAATCATAAACAGAAAGCTATGCATTGATTTATATGAAGACAAATCCAGATATTGTGGCCAAGGTTTAGCAAATTGTTTTTACTTACATAGCATAGCAATTATTTTTTTATAGCAATATATTGGGGGGGGGGGGGACATTTTGAGCATATTTGAATATATTGGGGGTCGGATGTGTCCCCCCCCCCCCAATATCTCCATGTATATAAAAGGCAAAGTTGTGAGTTCAAAATGTTTAGCCTACTTCCCGACATGCAACAAACTGGAAATTTGCCATGTGGGTACACCATGCAAAAATTAAAAAAATAGTTTTTTGGGGGGGGGGGGGCGAGCTCAATAATGCATTTTTTTTGCACGGCAAATGAGCTGTGACGTCAAATCTGTCATGTGACCCGCGCATGTGGAAACGTAACGCATTGTAGTGTAGTGGTTAGCGCTACGCTGCGCTATGAACCTGGCGACCCAAGTTCGATTCCCGCTCACGGCCACCACTGGTGACGATTATTTTTACCGGTCCTGGGCCTCCCCTAGGTCGACTCGGCCTCAAACGAGTAACTGGTGTGGTGTGTGAACATCGCCACTGGGGAGACAAAGGCGGCCGGGCGTGGTGAATCCAAGTCCTGGGCGAAGCCGGGTCGTCAAGCTAGTAGTATATTATAATTACGGCCTTTCCCGTAGCCCCAATAGTAGCTAGCGCACGCCAGTCCGGAGCCGACACCTGCTGAGGCAGTGGGTGAAGGGACCGTTACACCCCTTCAAGTGTTAGGTTCGCTACGTGCTGTATCGTAGCAATTGTTAATAAATGTGTTGCATCTAACCGACCGTTTCCACTCTCGTGAAACCCACACTACATATATTAAGCCATTCCAACAATACGCACACATTCAAAACATCGTAATTGTATTTCATAACGATGTCTGTTACCGTAGGGCACGTTAAAGCATTTACTTATGGACGTGCAGGGTGCACAAACAATAGTACGAACTTTGCAATTTTCCAGTGGACATTGCTTAATGCAATCACCTTTAAACAACAGCAATTGCAAAACATTTTTGTTACGCAAATGATCACCTGTACTAAATGTAAGGTGAACAGGTTGACATTACCATCGCAAAGACTGACTCTGCATGTCCTTGTTGGTGGGTGTTACAGTACGGTACTTCAATATCCCCTGCGTCTCACAAACCCCAAATAAACACGATTTAGTTGTGCCGCCAAATCCTTTATTTTGTATTATTTTCATTAGACCACAGTGAAAAACATACATCTACGCTACACACGTGATTAAAGCAGCACCTAATAAAATTTCACAGAGTTAATTTAAAGTGAGATAACATATCTAACAGCAACAAATATACCACAGTACGCGTCTCTAGCTTGCAGACAAAAGATTACATATTAGCGTATTCAAGACGATGCAAAACACTGCATATCCCAATGTTACACGACCAACGTATCCATTTGCCGAGATGTTTACTCAAAACCGACCACGGATTTAGCGCTCAGGTTGAACACGCAACATCTAAAATTATTCTAACACATTGTCTAAATTGCGTGCTAAAGGCAATATTAAAAACATAGAAAGATTAACCATCCAAATAAATGAACGAAGCAAATAAAAAACGATCACGTAGTTAAACACTGACCCAAGAAACAACTACTTGACGTAAAAAAATATGTAAAACTATGAAGGCGGTACTGAGAGTATGTCGTGTGTAATGTATTTACAAAGCACGTGTAGATGATTACTAAATTAATATTACATAGCCGCATGCGACTCTTCCAATAACTGCTTCGCGACGTTATTTATCAAGGGCCACATTCTCCGTATTCACCACATTCCATCCCGGCTCTTGAAATAGAGTTTTGCCAAATTTCGAGAAAAAAAAATCCGTCATTTTGGTTGCCAACCCGCTGGGGCAAACGAAGGTGAATATACCCGACACCAGATTCAATACCGACGACAGTCGTCATTGATTAAATGTTTCAATAGATTGGTAAGACGTGATTGTTGGAAAAACTTTTTGGGTGAAAAAAAAAGGTTTGTGAACAGAAGTGATTTATAATGGATAAACATGTATTAAATGCAGCAAACCCTAGTGAATATATAACCACGAGTGCTTTACACTAATTAGGCATGTATAATGAAAAGTTACCATCGTGGAAATGTGTTTTTTTTATTTATAGACAATCCTAGCTCCTGCAGATTGTTAAACAACACTGAGGCTTGTGGTACACCAAATCATGCTTTTTCACTTGCCTGTGGTTACTTAACTGTTATTTTTGGCTAAATCTGAATAATCAGTGTAGCTGGATACGGTTCATACATGAATACATTACATATAAAATGAAAACGGTAATACTTTCGGTATACTTTGAAGACGAGCACAGAACAAAGCCGATAATTACATGAAGATTTTCTCAAAGCTTCATAAATGGTAAAACTTGGCATACGAGTAATAATGGAATAGAATGAAAAGGTGGATGCAATAATTAAGGTTTATTTTTTTTGCATGTGAAAATGGACCCAAGAGATTTACACCTAAGGTAAACCGTGTGAGGAGCTTAAAGTTGGACACCATTTCAAACGATCCAGAACTTACGGGATATGGAAGTGTTAAACATGATGCCAAAATGTTGTCTGGTATACCCTTGAGTAAAATCATATGAAAACTGTAAAGCAATGTACAGTACAGGCATTTTCTAATGAGCTAGTTATGGTTTCCGATTAACACGGTTCACTACGTATGGTGTGAAAGAAGTGAAAAAATACATACATGGTTTGCTCATACAGATGCAAGGCATTATTACAAGTGATCGATGTAATAACTTAAAACATGAAACTAGCATTCTGAACATTGTGCAGCCCTTCATTAAAACACAAAACGAGACATTCATCATTGTCGAGGACATGTCTAAGGTTTGTCGATGATTAAAGCCAGTGTCTTTGCTGACATAGTAAAAAACGCAAATGTTTATCTCATAATGGGGATACATTTAGAAGCTATGTGTTTTTAACATCTAGGCCAAATAGCTGCGTATTGGCATTGAAAAAAACATTTGATGTTATCAAGTTGCTGCTCCAGTGAACTTAGAAAATAACAAGTACAATGGAAATAACATGGTTTTCATTACTCTGCAACCAATATGGTGGAGTATTTGTTTAGTCAAATCAACGTATGCTTGCCAAGCAGCTCCATTCAGATGAAAATGTTATCTGCACATTTTTTGTATTCCACTTTCAAAACTGCTTATGCACATTGAGCTCTTCAAACTGGTCAATTGTGTTCCAATAGGATTCCCATCACCCAACCTACCATCACCAAATTCCACCTTTACCAATAGTTTACATATGATACAAATGCTATACACCTCTTTAATTCCACGTGGCCAGCGAGTGCTTGTCCCATCTCAAGAGCCAGAGGAGCCGTGTTGTTCTCATGCCCCCTATGTAAGCTTCGTCTTACTTTTTTTGTGACTCTTTGAATGTTTTTTTGTAAGTGGCAATACATCTGTGAAGGAATGGCTAATGGTACGTTTGCATTTATGAGATTTTCCCACCATTCTATTGACCTGGTGATCAAGAAGCCCTCTAACACATTTACTCTTCACCTTACCACCTAACGGGCTCGATTCCTCAGGGCTAGAAACTGGGTATCCTGGTGCATCTTTGTTGCCCATTGCCCGTCTGTATGCAGACTGTGGCGGCGTAGTAGAATGTGCACCCTGTTTGCCATCCGTATGTTTGAAGAGGGGCACGGCATCTTCTTTTCTCGTGTGCGATGGGCTGAAGCTGCTTTTATCCCTGCGTTCCATCTCAGGATCCAGAGGAGATGAAGGAAACGAAAGCTGCAGTTTTGGAGATCCAATCTTGCCTTGCGCTGAAATTATACGATGCAGTTTAATACAATTATGTCCGATGTACTCCACTGTGGCTCTATTTGAGCATAATTTTTTTTTATAAATAACATCTAGGTCCTTAGATTTAGGGGCATTTTTGACCAATCTCTATAACAATCCCATGAGCAGGAAGCGTTTATCGATGTGTAAAGTGGAGGGACAAATGTGAAGGAGACAGTCTGCTTATGTATTTTGTTACTTAGTCTCCATGATATAAATTACTATTTAGTAAAACATTTTTTATGAGGCCGCTCAGCTGTGAGCTAGAACAAATGCAGCCGTTGTTTTTTTTTTTTACAAAAATTAAACATTGCAAACCAAAACACCGCACGCAAGATTTTAATAAACACCTTACCACACGATCGTAATTGGCGACAGCAGCAGCAACAACAAAAAAAGACTTAGCAGCTTATGCACATACGCGATTTACTCCTCGCCAGGAGCGGACGACATCCATAGCAGAACCAGTCAGTTTGGTTACTTTTCAGTCCCGCACATGCCAGATGAGCGCCGGCTGCCCCACAGCAGTCGCAGCGCGTCACCTCCCACTTACTGAAATGAATATTTCGTGAGAGAAACAACACGGTTGGAACCTGGTTATCGATTATACCACTCATCACTAGCAGATGTAAACTTGATGTTGGAAAATATGTACGACATAATTCAGAAACGTGGAAAATATGGCCATGTTATATAGTTGATTGAAGAATCATTCGGCTGGTTTCCATTTTCATCTTATGGAGTAACGCAAAATGTAAAATTACACTGGTCTACAATTTTTTAGACGTCTACTTCTGAGATGACGTGCTATTTATTATCGAATTTAACGTGCTCAATTAAAATATGACAATTAAAACAATTGATTGGCTACTGTTCCCAAGATATAAAAGTTTTTACATGTTACGTCTATGTATATTAGGAGAGTTTTACTCAAATTGTAAACCTAGGTCTTTTCATGAGTTATGGTTGCTTTACATGATAACATGTCACTTGTCCTGTTCATGTAACACTTAAAACGTTAGCATAAAAATAAAATGTACTATGAAACAAAAGGCAAAAAACTAGTATGTATAGTTTAGTCCTTATTCATTGTCTACTCAGTGCTTCTTGGCTTGTCTCTTGTATTCATTAAATGGAGCGTCTCTTGTCACTATCCAGCAATAGTCTGAAAGCATTGATGGGCTCCATTGTTGCAATGTCCTGGTGAAATCGCTCGCCATGCTCACTCACTGCTCCGCCGTTCGGTCGGAAAAAAATCTAGATGAGAGTGCAAAAAATGTATCTAGTGACATGTTGCAACCACAAAGCTTTTGTATGCCTTGAGGTGTTCCAGCAACTCCCTGTAGTTGTCTGCCTTGTTGTTTCCGAGATAATTTGTTGCCACTAACTGGAAATCTTTCCATGGCGTATTTTCCTTGCCACGCAGTGCACTGTCAAATGCATCATCTTGAAGAAGTTCACGAATCTGAGGACCAACAAAGACACTTTCCTTTATCTTAGTTTCACTTAATCTTGGAAAATTTCCATGGAGGTACTTTGAAAGCTGCTTGTGTTTTGTCCATGGCTTTGATAAAGTTCTTCATCAGACCCAGCTTGATGTGTAAGGGTAGTAACAAAATCTTCCTTGATTCAACAAGTGGTGGATGTTGAACACTTTTCCTCCTCGGCTCCAATGACTGTCGGACTGGCCAATCTATCTTGATGTCGTGGTAATCTCTCACCCTATTATCCTATTCGCAGAGAAAACAGCAGTACTTTGTGCATCCAGTCTGCAGACCACTGATGTTGGTCATAGTTATGCACCTCAAAAGTTGTTTCATGTTGTCACAGATTTCCTTCATATGGACTGCATGACCAACTGGAATTGATGGCAAAACATTGCCATTATGCAGCAAAACAGCTTTAAAAGACTCATCTTCAATGAATCAATGAAGTCTCCACTCATCTGGATCATGAACGATGTTGAGGGCTGCCATCACATCATCGATGTTGTTGCAGGCTACAAGATCACCTTCCATGAAGAAGAATGGGACAAGATCCTTTTGACGGTCACAGAACATGGAAACCCTAACATCACCTGCCAGGATATTCCACTGCTGCAGTCTGGAGCCCAGCAGCTCTGCCTTACTATTGGGTAGTTCCAAATCCCTGACAAGGTCTTTCAGTTCACCTTGTGTTATGAGGTGTGGCTCAGAGGAGGAGGATGGGAGAAAATCTGGGTCATGTGACCTTGATGGTTCAGGACCAGAAGTTTAATTCTCCTCCTCTTCATCTGACTCAAGTGAGAATGATTGTGGTGCATCAGGAACCGGCAGTCCTTCTCCGTGGGGTACCGGGTGTATGGCTGATGGAATGTTTGGATAATGCACAGTCCACTTTTTATTCTTTGACACACCTTTTTCCCAGCTGGAGGTGCCATGAAGAAGTAACAATTGCCGATGTGATCTGTTGGCTCTCTCAAAATCATTGGCACTGCAAAAGGCATAGGATTTCCTTTTCCTGTTCAACCACTGGTGAAGATTTGTTGCACAAGTGTTACAGCATATGTGTGGGGCCCACATCTTGTCCTGATCTCCAATTTTGCAGCCAAAATAAAGATGATAGGCTTTCTTACCCATGGTGGTTATACTGTGCTTTTGTGATGCAAATGTCACTTCACCACAAACAGCAGAAGTTATCTGCTTTGTTCACACAACTACAAGGCATCTTTGCTCACTTTGGCTAAGCAGAAATGTCCCTTTGCAAAATCAAACGCTGACAAATAAGAAAGCACGACACTGTATGCTTTCTCGAGCTGATATAGGGCAAATTGTTCAGCAGAGGGATGTAAGCCTAGTTATGATTGTGTAGTGTAGTAGAACGACGCTACTCTATTGGCTCGGTATGGGGGCTGTAGGCAGGTGTCACGGGGGTCGTGTCGGGCCGTGACACTCTGCGTGAACCCAACAGGACACGCGACCGGATAAAGGGGGGCCAGGGGCCCCAGGGGGGGGGGGTCACGTGGTTGGGGTTCGGGCCTTCCCGAAGGATCGGGAAGGGGGCGTGGCCTGGGGCAGAGCCAGCCACGCCGGAGTGGTTATAAACGGGGCGCGGACGGAGAGCTGGACTGTTCTGTGCTGTTCTGCTGGGTCATCTCTGGGATTAAGCTCTTCGGTCTCCGCTAGTGGACCAGGGCAGCGTGTTGGGCTGTCCTGGTCCAGTGATGTAGCATCCCCGTGGGTTAGCCAAGTTAGGAACGGTGGCTACCACCTTAAGTCGTTATGTGAAGTGTTACCTGTTGTGTTAGCTAATAAAGTGTTGCCTCCAAAGTCCAGTGAGCGCCTGAATTTAACCCACTACAATTGCATCATCCATGACGTCTAGGGGAATAACATGATGGAATTCATATCATGTATGATGCAATACCAGGTTCAGATTGCATAAAACGTCGTGAGAATATTATTGTGTTATTTTATTTGATCAATTTTATTCTCATTCTACGTGACTTTACCGAAAGAACCAAAGAAGATCAGATTGCATAATTCATTGTTTTGCTCAAAAATAAACTACTGTCCCAACCCAGTCATATATTTATTCATAGATCCAGTCAAAGATGTATTTTAGTAATTTCTGGCTTAAATTGAGATCCCTTCCCTTGATAATTCACATATCCCCCACCATTCCCAAGTCAAGGGTCGTATATACTGACCCAATAGCATATCTTGAAACTAGAGCCAATCAACAATTTTAAGCATCATTTTCATTCTCAGTAACCCAGAATTAGTACAGTTGGACTACATTTATTTTGGAGGCATTTTGGCTGTATACCAGTGTTATTAGTGATACATGACGATGCCAATTATGTCCTTGTTTTAAATGCTAACCACGCTCATAACAGACCAGTATATTATCTTAACACAGTTGGCTGCATCCAGAAACCGTATTCGCTATGGCCAAACACACTGCTATGACGAAGTAGCGGAGTGTTGAATTGCATAACTCCCTGAGCAGGTCAGGAATGGATTGTAACCTGTGTGCACATACCTGTTGGCTTTGTTGTAATCCCGTCCCATTGAACATTGGCAGCGTTTGATGTCACAGCGCTGGTACTGTGTCAGTAGCTCTTGAAAGGCGTTCTCGTCACGCTCCCACGATGCATCCCTTTAACAAATGAATCCCAATCTCAAATTTAGCTTTGATCAATTTCAGATTTGTTTTAATCCTGCAAGGGGGAGGATACTACCACCAAGTAACAATTGTGTTTGTCATATATACAGCACATATAGCCATGCATCTTAACTCCTTAACTACAAGGCTTAGTGTTAGAAATATTACATTAAAATATATCTCATAACATTTATTTGTACCTCGTAAAAACATAAGTGATAGAACTGAGTGTAAACAACTATTTATAGTAACATGTAAAGTACTCTCCAAAATCTGCAAAAACAAAAATTAGGTTAAAAACTAGAGGGTATTTGGCCTACTTTTCCACATTGGCTAGACATCTTGTAAGAGGTGGGAATACCCACTCGATACCCCACCACATGCATCATAACTACCTGTGCAGCACTCGTTTATACTGCTGGGTGGACAGATATGGGGTGGATTTAAGAAACGTGTCCAGTGTTTCAACTGTCGTGCCGGGAGATCAAACCGGCGACCTCTGGATTGCAAGTCCAGTGTGCTAACCGTTAAACACCATGGCAGCATCTATTAATTTAAATCTTGACTTCAAGCTTTTGTGACTGGAGGAATTCTTATTCTTTGGGTATTTCGGTAAAGCCACGTAGATAGAAAAAATAATAAAATTAATAACAATATCACGACGATTTTCGATCGCAACACAAGCAATCGTCAGATACAACACAGACTTCTTTTTTCACCTGATGACGATTGCTTGTGTTGTGATCGAAACGTCGTGATATTGTTATTATTATTTTTTTCTATCTACGTGGCTTTAACGAAAGAGCAAAAGAATATTAATTTAAAGTCACGGTCTTGTTTAAAATAGTTTCAGCGGGTTTACAGTGCCCATGTCAAAACAAAGAGCAAGCATTACCGAGATTCTGGGGTCAAATCTTGGGCATCCTCCCAAAATAAACTCGGTTCTCAAGCGTAGCGAGTTGATGGGACTTTGCCTGGTCAGTAATTGCACCAAATAAACACACATTTTGCTGTCAGTAGCAAGTTGCAGAATGGAAACATGCTGTCACATTTCATAACGCACGTAGCACAACTGGGATACATCTTGGTGATAGAAAATAAAAAAGAAAGGAGACCTCTGAAGATGTTCCACAACAATCCAAATAATAGTGCCAATATTCTTGGTTCTTTCGGTAAAGTCATGTAGAAGGGAAACAATAAAATAATAAAAATATAAAACAATAAAATTATCACAAGCAATCATCAGGTGTGGTTTTCACACCTGATGATGATTGCTTGTGTTGCAGTCGAAACGTCGTGAGAATTTAATTGTTTTATATTTTTATTATTTTATTGTTTCCCTTCTACGTGACTTTACCGAAAGAACCAAGAATATGAATCCCTGCAGTCACGAAAGCTTTAAATCAAAATAGTGCCAATATTTGAATATTTTAGCGGTTTACCTCTCAGGGATGTGGATACCCATGCGAAGCATTTCAGCTTGAAACTTCTCATTGTTGTTACAGATGGGACAGCGAAAGAAGAACAATCCCGAGTGCAACGCTTGTTGCTGTTGCGGAACAAAAGCAAGTCATGCTGTGAAAAAGTTCAAGTGTAATTTTGGTAAAACGCGCAATACGGCATTGTATTTCCATGTCCTACCACGGATGTCAGGATATTATTATTTTAGGACACACCACTACAAGGGATCATTACGTTTATAGCACCTATATATCAATCGAGGTTCTGATTTTAAGAAAATGGACTTGTCCTTTTGTCAACCCAATGCTATATGAGAACCTGCCCACATGGGGGGTTATGCAATATAATTTAACCATGTTGATTACTGCGGGTCGGTAAAGGCAGGGAGCACAGACATGGCTGCATAGATGTACAGTACAATGTATTTTGCTGCACTTCCCTGTTACCCACAACATAGGCCCGCAGCAGCAGCCCATTACAACCTGCCTTGTGCATGGTGATCACCGATCCAATAATTATCCACTCACGCCTTCTTTAGCTTTGCAAGCTAAAACAACGCATTGAAATTGACCAAATACAATGTCCCAGGTAATGGCAGTAGGAATGATTAAAGCGATACATACAACTCAAGACAGGGTCTCGGCTATTCACCTGTATGCAGGAGCGGTGGAAAAAAGTGTTGCAACAGGAAGCACTGCGCAGAGTGTCAAAAGATGATAGATCATCTATGACTTCTAGACACAGCACACAAGTCTGTGGCTCAACGTCAGCACGGCCCCTCATTTCAAGCTGGATTGGGCGGTGTTCTTTGCAGAATGACCTAAAAACAGAAATCCACATTTTATATATTAAGAATACAAACTGCATATTTACTTGACAACGAATTGCATATACAGTGAGGGAAAAAAGTATTTGATCCCCTGCTGATTTTGTACGTTTGCCCACTGACAAAGAAATGATCAGTCTATAATTTTAATGGTAGGTTTATTTGAACAGTGAGAGACAGAATAACAACAAAAAATCCAGAAAAACGCTTGTCAAAAATGATATGAATTGATTTGCATTTTAATGAGGGAAATAAGTATTTGACCCCTCTGCAAAACATGACTTAGTACTTGGTGGCAAAACCCTTGTTGGCAATCACAGAGGTCAGACGTTTTTTGTAGTTGGCCACCAGGTTTGCACACATCTCAGGAGGGATTTTGTCCCACTCCTCTTTGCAGATCTTCTCCAAGTCATTAAGGTTTCGAGGCTGATGTTTGGCAACTCGAACCTTCTGCTCCCTCCACAGATTTTCTATGGGATTAAGGTCTGGAGACTGGCTAGGCCACTCCAGGACCTTAATGTGCTTCTTCTTGAGCCACTCCTTTGTTGCCTTGGCCGTGTGTTTTGGGTCATTGTCATGCTGAAATACCCATCCATGACCCATTTTTCAATGCCCTAGCTGAGGGAAGAACGTTCTCACCCAAGATTTGACGGTACATGGCCCCGTCCATCGTCCCTTTGATACGGTGAAGTTGTCCTGTCCCCTTAGCAGAAAAACACCCCCAAAGCATGTTTCCACCTCCATGTTTGACGGTGGGGATGGTGTTCTTGATGTCATAGGCAGCATTCCTCCTCCACCAAACACGGCAAGTTGAGTTGATGCCAAACAGCTACATTTTGGTCTCATCTGACCACAACACTCTCACCCAGTTGTCCTCTGAATAATTCAGATGTTCATTGGCAAACTTCAGACGGGCATGTATATGTGCTTTCTTGAGCAGGGGGACCTTGCGGGCGCTGCAGGATTTCAGTCCTTCACGGCGTAGTGTGTTACCAATTGTTTTCTTGGTGACTATGGTCCCAGCTGCCTTGAGATCATTGACAAGATCCTCCTGTGTAGTTCTGGGCTGATTCCTCACCATTCTCATGACCATTGCAACTAAACGAGGTGAGATCTTGCATGGAGCCCCAGGCCGAGGGAGATTGACAGTTCTTTTGTTTCTTCCATTTGCGAATAATCGCAACAACTGTTGTCACCTTCTCACCAAGCTACTTGGCAATAGTCTTGTAGCCCATTCCAGTCTTGTCCCTGACATCATTGGAGAGCTCTTTGGTCTTGGCCATGGTGGAGAGTTTGGAATCTGATTGTTTCTGTGGACAGGTGCCTTTCATACAGGTAACAAGCTGAGATTAGGAGCAATCCTATTAAGAGTGTGCTCCTAATCTCAGCTCGTTACCTGTTTAAAAGACACCTGGGAGCCAGAAATCTTTCTGATTGAGAGGGGGTCAAATACTTATTTCCCTTATTAAAATGCAAATCAATTTATAATATTTTTGACATGCGTTTTTCTGGATTTTCTTGTTGTTATTCTGTCTCTCACTGTTCAAATAAACCTACCATTAAAATTAGACTGATCATTTCTTTGTCAGTGGGCAAACGTGATCTTGTACGTTTGCCTACGTGTTAAAGGTGACAACAGTTGGTGCGATTATTCGCAAATGGAAGAAACACAAAAGAACTGTCAATCTCCCTCGGCCTGAGGCTCCATGCAAGATCTCACCTCGTGGAGTTGCAATGATCATGAGAACGGTGAAGAATCAGCCCAGAACTACACGGGAGGATCTTGTCAATTATCTCAAGGCAGCTGGGACCATAGTCACCAAGAAAACAATTGGTAACACACTACGCCGTGAAGGACTGAAATCCTGCAGCGCCCGCAAGGTCCCCCTGCTCAAGAAAGCACATATACATGCCCGTCTGAAGTTTGCCAATGAACATCTGAATGATTCAGAGGACAACTGGGTGAAAGTGTTGTGGTCAGATGAGACCATAATGGAGCTCTTTGGCATCAACTCAACTCGCCGTGTTTGGAGGAGGAATGCTGCCTATGACCCCAAGAACACTATCCCCACCGTCAAACACGGAGGTGGAAACATTATGCTTTGGGGGTGTTTTTCTGCTAAGGGGACAGGACAACTTCACCGCATCAAAAGAATGATGGACGGGGCTGTGTACCGTCAAATCTTGGGTGAGAACCTCCTTCCCTCAGCCAGGGCATTGAAAATGGGTCGTGGATGGGTATTCCAGCATGACAATGACCCAAAACACACGGCCAAGGCAACAAAGGAGTGGCTCAAGAAGAAGCACATTAAGATCCTGGAGTGGCCTCGTCAGTCTCCAGACCTTAATCCCATAGAAAATCTGTGGAGGGAGCTGAAGGTTCGAGTTGCCAAACGTCAGCCTCGAAATCTTAATGACTTGGAGAAGATCTGCATAGAGGAGTGGGACAAAATCCCTCCTGAGATGTGTGCAAACCTGGTGGACAACTACAAGAAACATCTGACCTCTGTGATTGCCAACAAGGGTTTTGCCACCAAGTACTAGGTCATGTTTTGCAGAGGGGTCAAATACGTATTTCCCTCATTAAAATGCAAATCAATTTAAACATTTTTGACATGTGTTTTTCTGGATTTTGTTGTTGTTATTCTGTCTCTCACTGTTCAAATAAACCTACCATTAAAATTATTCACTGATCATTTCTTAGTCAGTGGGCAAACGTACAAAATCAGCAGGGGATCAAATACTTTTTTACCTCACTGTATGTGTGGCCTGGGCTTCGCGTACGGGCTGTGAACATTGCTTTAACTTCATAAACCAGCCTTGTGGCCATGGATGTTTGAAAAAACTTACGGAAATGTGCCATGGAACTGAAAGAGGCAATGCAGCTTTATTCCACAAGGCAGGTGGAATTTTCTTCTGCAACTTGTTAAATTGCACCCAATAGCAGCTCCTTTCTGCTTGCAAAGCATACATTTCTGTGGTGGCATGAGAGAGCGGAGTAAACATAGACCAAATGCACGACAGTCAACCCTTTCCCGTTCCGAGATGCCTCTAAGAAGCAAGGCGGGTCCTGTTCACCGCCGATTCTCTGAACGTGCAAGCGGTTCAGCGTTAATTCTATTTAGAGGCATAGCACTTTTTTAAGACATGGTACTCACCACAGAGAACTGTAGCGACACAACCGCACTCTATGATAGCTGGTGCCAAACTGTGCCACGCACCCTCCCGCGTGGCCTTGTGGGAGCCTCGGTCCCGATAAAGTTATTTTACGTACATGTATGTCATTGGAATGGGAAAGGGTCAATATCAAACAAGAAATACTGTGTAAACACTGAATTTGTTGTAATTTACTCATAATTATGTAAAACTATAGACAAGTCAATTTGATACATCATTTATTTCATTAAGTCTTGCCACACAAGTTTAAAATACATGAAACTATCAAAGAAATTCAGGACTTTGACCACAGCACTAAAATCAGATACATTCAGGTAGGAGCTTAATGAGATTTACAATCAAATCTAAGTTGAGATAAGTGATCAGTTATTTGGCAGCAGTTAATGTTGTAAAACATTTATTTTTTGTAATATTCTACCTGCCTACCTTAGAATATCAAATTACACCATCACTAATCTGTTACGATGTATTAAGTTGATCAACGTATGCAAAAATAGCGATGAAGTCATTATATAATTACATTTTTTGTACTGTTTTATTTTAACTTTATGTTTTTGCCATTTGCTGTCCATTTTCTTATATTCTCCAACATTCATTTAAAATAAGATGTCCAATCAAATGGGTTCTAAGGTTAGAGGTCTAAATAACATGCAATGTTTAAACGTATGCAGTGTATGTGAATTGAACACACATAGCAAATGCTGCAACTAACAAATAACAAATAAAAGACTTTGCAGTGAAAGTACAATATTCATTAAACTGACCAAACGGCTTGCTCTTTTAAATTCCTTGATGATGTCATCTGGGAGGAAGCCATAAAAGCCCTCCGAGTCATTTCCCTGCTGACATAGGCCACTTGAAAAAATCTATTAAACCGGACAATCAAAATCACGTTCAAATGTTATTTCATAGCCAACATAGTCAACATCATGACACATACAAACAAATAATCACATACATTATTTGTATTTACATTAAATACATTTTATTTATAGCAGTGCACCAACTTTCAGCTTTATATGAACTTAAGCTTGAATGATTACATGCTAAACAGAAAGGCAACTTATGTAATCAACTATACATTTTTTCAATTAAAATAATTCATATGCATTTCCCCAGTGAGTAGGGCCGTTATTATCTTGTAGTCATGGAGGGGACAGGTGAGAAACGGGGTGCTAGGCATCTATCGGCTCACACTTATGTCCACCTTTTCCTTTCATTCCAGCCTTTAACATGGATGAAAGGACCAGTGAACGAGAAAGTGTGGGAAGCTACGCTATTAAATGAAATTTTGGTCACCGAGTTCATAGTGCAGTACACTTATCACTGCGTCATGGCTCCCTCCCCCACCCAAAGGCAAATATACCAGAGATGACAGCATGTAAAAGTAGGCAAGTTGCTTACCAGGCAATAGTAATGGACTGTGATGCCACTTTCTGGATCAGTGATTTTCTCCCCATATTGTAAGGCGTTGTTTTCTGCGAAGCCACACAGCTTGCAGGCTGAAGGAAACATAAAATAAATACTAATTTCTCAGTTATGAAATGTAAATATGCAAATCTCTAAACATGTACAATTATTTTACTTTAAAATATTTTTTTCAAGTATACAATACGAACTTTACTACCCGGTTTCGCCCGGGACTTGTATTCACCACGCCCGGCCGCCTTTGTCTCCCCAGTGGCGATGTTCACACACCACACCAGTTACTCGTTTGAGGCCGAGTCGACCTAGGGGAGGCCCAGGACCGGTTCAAATAATCGTCACCGGTGGTGGCCGTGAGCGGGAATCGAACTCGGGTCGCCGGGTTCGTAGCGCGGCGCGAGAATCGCTACACAGTCGCTGCCCCCCCCCACACACACACACACAGGATAAAGACAAAGATCCCCCGTGTAGCCTGTGAGACTGTTGGGGGCAAGTGCTGTTAGCGAGCACCTATGAAGGGCCGGCACGGCACACGAGGGGGTGGGTGGACAGCACCACGCCCGGCCGCCTTTGTCCCCCCAGTGGCGATGTTCACAAATCACACGAGTTACTCGTTTGAGGCTGAGTCGACCTAGGGGAGGCCCAGGACCGGTTCAAATAATCATCACCGGTGGCGGCCGTGAGCGGAAATCGAACACGGGTCGCCGGGTTCGTAGCGCAGCGCGCTAACCACTACACTACCGCTCCCCCCACACACACACACCTGCGCGTCCATAGGTACACATACACGCGCTTGCTGCAGACACACACAACTTTCAGGGTGCGTAGGGCAGTAAACGACTGAAATAATAAAGCAATGCTGCGCGAAGAACGCCTTAGACCTGCAACACATTTGTATGGCACTTTACCCGCGATCGGCAGGCACACTCTGTGACGCTTCCGCACATTGGTCACATGACATGTGACGTCACAGCTCACTTGCCGTGCAAAATATATGCATAATTGCGCTCCCCCCCCCCCCAAAAAAAATACAAAAGCCTATTTTAATAATTTTTGCATGGCGTACAGTCTGGAAAGTACCCACGTGGCAAATTTTTAGTTTGTTGCATGTCGGTAAGTACGTTAAACTTTTTGAACAGACACACATAATCACAAATTTCCCTTTTATATAGAGATAAGATGCACATGCCACGTATTTTCAAGCAATTGCACAATGAACAAGATTTCCTGGACAATAGCCAACTTTTTTAATTCGAAAGAAAGACATTTTAACACTTGAATTCGTAACATTTCATCATATAATCAGCCATTTTCTATCCACTGCTGGATGAAGGCCTCCCCACGATGTCACCATCCTTCACGATCCAGTGCTGTTTTACTATTCATCTCACTGCTACACATGAACTGATCTCATCGCTCCACCTTCACGGTGGTCGTCCTATTGGAAATGTTCCTCTGGTTGTCTTTCCTCCCAATTGTCGTTCAATGGTCACCATTACGTTTAGCAATGTGTCTTTCCCAAACCCATATTGTGTCTGATTTATGTTTGTTTCCCGAACCATTTTATCCTTTTTCTGTATTTATGTAAAGACAGTACGGAGCGATAGTGGGACAGTATGGTTCCCCGGGACCATGGTTACCAATGGACGTGCTAATGATGATTGATGAGACAAACGTTGATAGAGTCACGTAAGGGGGAGCACGGGATCCAATGGTGGGGGGAGTGTAATTAGGGCGGTGAGTGACAGAGCAGGTGCGGCGAGGAGAATTCGAGAATAGGGGCATGGCCGGACCGGGCGAGGCTTAAGAGCCGGCACGAGCCGGAGCTGGTGGCTGTTGGTGTGGAGAATCGCCGTTGTCATCGTCGTCGCCTTGGAATGGGTCGTTTCCATCGTCTGCGAGTTGTCTTGAGACTAGAAGCTATGTTATCTCTGAATAGAGTTGTCTAACTACCCCAGTGTATAGAGTCACTCACAGTTAATCGTTGAGTTGTCAGTTGACTTTATTCATATTAAATATACGGAAGATAAGATGTTGTCTCTGAGAGCTACATTACAGTGGTGTCAGGAGTGGCTATTCGAAAATGCCGAAGAAAGGAAGGTGAGAACCCACCTGTAGCTTCTTCATGGATGGAGAAGGGAGGCAGCCATGGAGTTCCCCCAGCAGCCCCGGGAGTCCGGTGACGAAGCCCGAGGGCGCAAAGGATGCGACGGTCAACCGGCTCCGGTTGACCGTCGCTGACTTGACGTCGAAGAGGAGAGTGGCGACTTCGGGAGTCGACGCAGCCGGGGACGAGCCGCAAAGTCGTGCGGGGATGGTGGAGCAGCCGCCTGTGGTCGGGGTTCCTGCGCTGGAGGCCACGTGGTCGGGGGTCACCATTTCGCGGGAGGCGACGTGACAGACGGACGCCATTTTGAAGCCTGCGCGATAGGCAGCGGAAGCGGTGTTGTTTCGAGCGGCGGAGCGAGAAGCCCTCGAGCAACCACGAAGGTTGCCACTGATCAAGGAATTTACGGTGGCGGGGGGGGGGGGACTGGAGTGCCTTCGCCCGCCGGTTTGGAGTAGCGTACCGGTCTGTCGGCTGGACGGAGGAAGAGGCGCTGACTGCTTTGCCTACGCTTCTTGACGATGATGGCCTCGCGGTTTTCTGGGCAATCCCTGAGGAGAAGAGGGCCATGCTTCAGGATGCCTACAAGGGGATGTCTGCTGTATACGACCCACCGTCGGGGCCGAGGGGTGCCTGCAAGCGTGCGAGACCTCACGAGGACGGCCTTGGGGGGCTGCATGGAGCAGAAAATCTCGGCTTGGAGATTAATGGGCTGGCTGACCATCCAAGATTGTCGTGGAGCCGTCGCAAGAAGAAACGGAGTCTTCGGGGGGAGTGACGGCAGCGGATCGCGGAGGGGACCGGTGGCGACGGGGGGACACCGGGACGGCTCCGGGAGTGGCGATCCTTGTCCGTTTCGGCACCTTCGCCACGGGCGCCCTGGTTCGCCTGCTCTGCTGCGGCCAGCTTCGACCCTTCGTGCGGGGATGCCAAGCGTCGTGGAGACATCATGGAGCTTCTTGCGTCCACCGCCTCGTCGACAGCTACGGCCCGGCCCAGGCAAGTTGCGATGCACCAGACACCTGACCGCTAAAAATCACCTCATGCATCAGGGTAATCGGGGATTCGTAGAGGCCAAACTCGGGCATGCAGTAGCGAAAGCTGGCAGCCGAGTGGTAGGGGCTGGTTCATCGGGTATATGTTATGTATGGTGTGAAATCATGTATGTTGTGGGATGAGTGCCTCGGACTTGTGATTCTGGAGTCGTTTTGTCACGAAGCCCGTTGAATTAAGGGATCTTTGGGGTTCACTGTGGTGTGTGTGTGTGAGTAGCCGCGAACGGAGGAATGGGGGGGCGTAGTAGCCTGTATCAGAGTAGGGGGAGGTTGAGATATGGTACCAGTATTGGAATTGGGATGCTGGCTGTGGCCCATCTCTGGGGCACGGATCCTGACCAGGATGCCCCTGCAATTGTTGAATGTCCAGTGTGTGTTCAGATGCCATGGGGCTACGAAGGTTTCGGAGATTCCCCCCCATCGGCGAGCATTAGTAGGCTCAGGTAAAATTCAAGGTATCTCTAGAGATCCGCCTGACACGACAGTAGTGGTCCCGTCGTGCTGTGGCAGACGGCTTGACCTGACGGCCCGGAGGTCGAGACCCTCCGTGCACATCTAGCGCAGTGAGATGTGGGCATAGTGCCCGGGAGTAGTGGTCCCGTCGTGCTGTGGTAGACGGCTTGACCTGACGGCCCGCAGGTCGAGACCCTCCGTACACATCTCACGCAGTGAGATGTGGGCATAGTGCCCAGGAGTAGTGGTCCCGTCGGGTTGCGACAGATGGCTTGACTTGACGGCCCGGAGGTCAAGACCCTCCGTGGCGCGTCTGGAGCAGTGGGCATGACCTGATGGCCCGGAGGTCGAGACCCTCCATGGTGCGGTTGGAGCAGTGGGCTTGATCTGAAGGCCCGGAGGTCGAGACCCTCCGTTGCGCATCTGAAGCGGTGGGCTGGGGGCTCACATTGCTCCGGAGTGGGGGTCCCGTTACATTGTGGAACGGTAAAACCTGGCTGATTGAAGATGGGGTTCTCCTTGGCCTGTCTTGAGCGGATGGGCCACGGACTTATACCGCTCTCGGTGCTAACGCTGTTGCGTGGAAATGGGGAACCGTTCTCGCAGATCCTCGTTGGGGATATGGAAATTGTGGGGGTTCAGGTGAAAAGAGTATTACTTATGCGAGGTTAGCAGGATGCGACGGGTTCGGGCCGAGCGCATAGACGGGAGTGTGTGAGGACACATGCTGTGAAGCATGGAAGGGTGAGTTGTTGAAGTTATACCCGAGTTGTTCGGGATGCATGTGGTTGAGTGCGACTCCTGCCGAGTGCTGATGTATATTAAAGCACAAAATAAGTATTTTACAGTAATCACAAAAATAAACACAGTATGAATACTGTACACGTGTTTTATAATCACGGAATTAACTATGAACACTGTAGTATTATACTGTTATCACAAAAATAACTATGAGTTGTTTACAGTATAATCACAGAAATAAGTACAGTATTAATAATATATGAATAAACACAAATATAAGAGCCGAGCGGGAAGTACCCGGCGTTGCCCAGGGGAAAAACATATTTAAAAACTTCTCTTCTTAAAAACATAACATATACATACACAAATACTAAGCTATTGTGAAAGCTCGGCGTGCCGTTGGTCCATTTGTCCGTCAATAAAATTATAAGATGCTTGCAGAAGTCCAAAAAGTTATGGAAAGGTTTCCGAAAATTGTCAACCCCCCCCCCTCAAAAAATGTTTTTTATCCACGCGTAGGCATATATATCTACACCCTACATTCAACAGTGAGGAGTATCTAGTGACTCTATAGTAGGACCTGACTCTAAAGCAGTATCTGGCTCTACAGTAGTATTTACCGACTCTATAGTAGTGTCTGCTGACTCTTTCGTAGTATCTGCAGACTATATTCTTAGTTTTTTCGGTAAAGTCACGTTGAAGGGAAACAACAAAATAATAAAATATATATAAAACAATAAAAAATTATCACGACGTTGCGACCATATATATTTTATTATTTTGTTGTTTCCCTTCAACGTGACTTTACCGAAAAAACTAAGAATATGAATTACTGCAGTCACGAAAGCTTTAAATCAAAATATCTGCAGACTCTTTAGTTGTATCTATTGAGCCTAGTAGTAGCTACTGACTGTATAGTAGTGTAGAGGAGAGTGTGCATAAGTGGAGGGAGTTGTTGTTGTCTAGGAACCAAGAGTAAAGACATCTCGCCGCTGCCGCTCCAGCCGTCAACGGGACCTCAACCCTCACGCCGTCGCTGGCCGGTTTTTGGCTGAACCCCCCGCCCGGGACAGACGGGTGAGCGGGTATGAGGGAGCGTAGGCGAGGGCAGCGGTGGAGATGCAGAGTTGCCTAGTGCAAAGCTGCTGTGTGCAGAGTCGCTGAGTGCGAAGTTGCTGTGTGCGGAGTCGCTGAGTGCGGAGCTGCTGTGTGCAGTTGCTAAGTGCGGAGCTGCTGTGTGCGGAGTCGCTGAGGGCAGAGTTGCCGAGTGCAGGATAAGTGAGGTGCAGAATAGATAAGAGCGGGGAGAATTCAAGTTTATGTCACCATACAGATAGTTATAGGAGTGCCTACAACTGGTGCAAGAACAGGTGAAATAAAGTGGAAGCAGGTGACTTGTTGCAACGTGTCGGTGAGTAATTTTTGAAGACACTACAGTAGTATCTACTGACTGTAGTAGTAACTTCTGACCGTAGTAGTATCGACTGACCCTACAGTAGTATCTACAGACTCTATAGTAGTAACTATTAACTCTATAGTAGTATCCGCTGACTATAGTAGTAACTACCAACTCTATGGCAGTATCTACCAACTCTATGGCAGTATCTACCGACTCTATGGCAGTATCTACCGACTATGGTAGTGTTGAGGAGTTCCCGACGACGACTCGGAGACGGCTTGAAGGTAAGGGCTTTCGCCAAAAGTTTATTAAGTGTATTACAATAGCACAAAGGGTGTGACAACTTCCCAGGGGTTAGGGGTCCCACACTAAGTCCTGGTCCAGCCCGGCTAGCTCCGGTCTCTCTTCCTCGAATCGGATGGGGGCACTAGCCAACCCCACCGACCGGGAAGAGCAGCACCTCCTACGGCTACCACCGGCTTCACTCCTGACTCTCGTCGATCCCTCTCTACCCCTGGTTCCCTCTCGACCCTTCTCACTCTACCCGTTCCCAAAGTGACCCCGCTTTCGTCACGGGGTCCCTCTTAAATCCCAGACGAGACATGACATCATCGAGCCGCCCAGCGCGCATGATGCCACGTTCCGTGACGTCATCGCACTGGATGGCACACATGACGTCACGTCCCCATTTTACTCCTCTACAGTAGTATCTACCAACCCTATGGTAGTAACTACTGACTATAGTAGTATCCACTGACTATAGTAGTTATTAACTCTACAGTCGTAACTACTGACTCTATAGTAGTTTCTACTGACTGTTGTAGTATTTACTGACCATAGTAGTATCTACTGTGAGTAGTATCTACTGACTCTATAGTAGTAGCTACTGACTCTATAGTAGTAGCTACTGACCATATTAATATCTACAATCGCTACAGTAGTATATACTGACTGCAGTAGTATCAACTAACTATAGTAGTATCTACCAACTCGATAGCAGTAGTAGGGGTGCTTGCCACCACTGCAGCGGTGCCTACCGACTGTGGCAGCGCCTGCCACCACTGCAGCACTGCCTACCGACTGTGGCGACGCCTGCCACCACTGCGGCGGTGCCTGCCACCACTGCGGCGGTGCCTACCGACTGTGGCGGTGCCTGCCACCACTGCAGCGGTGCCTACCAACTGTGATGGTGCCTGCCACCACTGCGGCGGTGCCTACCGACTGTGATGGTGCCTGCCACCACTGCGGCGGTGCCTACCGACTGTGGCGGTACCTGCTATCTCTGCAGCGGTGCCTACCGACTGTGGCGGTACCTGCTATCACTGCAGCGGTGCTTACCGACTGTGATGGTACCTGCTATCACTGCAGCGGTGCCTACCGACTGTGGCGGTACCTGCTATCACTGCAGCGGTGCCTACCGACTGTGGCGGTACCTGCTATCACTGCAGCGGTGCCTACCGACTGTGATGGTACCTGCTATCACTGCAACGGTGCCTACCGACTGTGGTGGTACCTGCTATTATTGCAGTGGTGCATACCGACTGTGGCGGCATCTGCTATAACTGCAGTGGTGCATGCTGACTGTGGCGGTATCTGCTATCACTGCAGCGGTGCATACCGACTGTGGCGGTACCTGCTATCACTACAGTGGTACATGCTGACTCTTTAGTCGTATATATTGACTCTATAGCACTAACTACGAACAGAGTGCCTTCGTGAGGCCTAGTCCCGTGCAGAGCCCCCGGCCTCGTTGAGATTGCCCAGCCGGCCGAGGTGGCACCTTTGCAGGCTGGGCTGCTACCCCACCCCCCCCCCACCATTCCCCCGCCTGCTCTACAGTCATAGTATCTAAATAGTAAAGGACTACAGTAGTAGTATCTACCGACCAATAGTGGTAAGTGCACACATTGGGGTGGGGGGGGGACATCACACTGTGAAGAACCTACCTCAGCGTTGTGTATTCTTTTCATTTTGAACATGAATGAGAATTCCCCCCAACGATCGCGTGTGTGCGTTGCTTGGGTAACCCTCACTTCGAGCCGGCTTAACTCGCGCATGCGTGCGCAGATGTGTGCTTTGGCGCCACCCTGTGCTTATGAAAGTAATAAATTGTTAATTTAACTACTTTTAAAGTTGACAGATGTGAAATACGAATAGCGCTTTTTCGTCCCGGGCATACGGTGTGGTATCCACGTACTTTTTCGATCCGTAAACCCCACAGTTTGTAAGTTTAAAAGGTCACAAGGAACCCGCGCAGAGAGAAAGACACACAGACAAAAAATGACTTTTATAGGTAAGACGCTCACTGAACGACTACTATTCAAAGACTTAACGAAAAAGATGGCGTGTGGCGCGAACATCGTAGAAGGATGGATGAAATCGAACGAAAAAGGAAAGCACGTGGATGAAATTTGAAATGTGGTTATAATTGAAAACGGCCGAAAGAGTGAAGCGACGAAAGTCAAGTGGATAAAATTCAAGGTATCGCTGTATTTGCAAGTGGGTCATGGGGATGAGGCATTACTCGCCTGGCTCCTCAGGAATGACCTCACCACTGTCCTTGCTCATCTCTCTCGCTTTTCTCTCCGCTTCCCACGACAATTGGTAAGAGAGCTGTAAGAATAAAAGCAGAGAAAACATTCCAGTGATGTCATAATACATTTTGAAAATTAGTTTAAAAACATCAAATAATATCGACAATTACATTTACAGCCCTTTGTCAACCAATTACTGGATAAAGACTACCAGATGCTGTGTGGGTCATCAGGGCGATTTTAACATACTTTACCAAACTGATTAGCGTAGATAGTCAAGGTGGGCAGCATAGCCACATAAGCATAGCAGTAGAGTACATAATTGAAGATTGCTGCACTGCCTATAACAATCTGTGTAAGGTAGTTATTCATCCAAGCGTTTTACAGGCACAATATGGGCTGGAGAAGAGATGGGCTTATGTGGTACAGAAGGATGTGGAACTGATTGGACTTGCTTATGACTGGCACTAGTATTAAGATCGGCATCTGTGGAGGAGGATCATAAAGGATGCTACCGGCAGTTGGAGGCAGTTGCCCTCCTCCAACAATGGAGGGCAAAGCAGCAAGACTATAACAACTAGCAGAGTGCTGAGTAGCTAAAACACAGCAAGCTGGCAGTGGGGAGCAGTTGGTACATCTGCCAGTCATCTCAGTCAGTCAACCCATGACACCTGGGTCTGTTCCATGACCTCCTTTACAGCAAGCCTTCGATACTTCACGTGGCCTCAAAGTGAACCCAGCTTGGGACAAGTGCTGTGGTGACATCACTGCCACTTAGTGGCGAACGGCAGTTGTCTTCCTTTGTGGTTCTGTGTCCCTCTTCGTGTCTCCATGTGGCTCTTTGCATCTCCCCGTGCCTGTCTGTGCCTCACTGTCAACTTGTATGTCTCACCATCTCCGTGTCTCTGTATCACTCTGTTTCTATGCCTCCCTATGTCACCCTCTCTTTGTATTTCTGTCTCACTGTGTGCATGCCTCTAGTCAACAATCTTACAGAAAAAAACTGTATTTCTAAAGAAATTATATTTAAGCAAGAAGGGCCCAAAGGATGGTGAAGATGTTATACAGTACATATCCTAGTTACAATCATGTTTTCATAGGTCATCATACAAACAGCAAGTATCGGTACATGCTTTATATGTTACAAGAAAAAAGTGTATGATGGGTACCTAAGTTGTTAACAGATGTTCATAAGTAAACCCTTTTGCAGGATAAATATATTTCACCATGATGGTATTTACAAGTTGGAATAACAAAATTGCATCAGCTGTGCTGAGGATTCATTGAAGATGCTGAGAATGACTTGGAGATCCTTGGGTATTACATGAAGAATTGAGGGAGGCGAGGTCAAATGCCAATGAATAGCCAATCACAATCAAGTATTCCATTTAAAAAACCTTTCATAGGAGCACCACAAAAGGAAATGGACTGTCCAAAAATCACAACTTGACTAGTATACTGAAATTTGACCTTACCTGTACGAAAATGTGTATTGAAAATTAATGTTCCTCTTTCGATATACAGTACATGCATTCAATTGCACTGGAAATATGTACATGTAACTATAAAGGCTTATATTGGCAGTCAACTCGTGGAATAAATTCAGTCACAGTAACTCTCATAAACATGATCCAATAAAAATTCAATATAAATTCTGTGGTGCTATGAGGGACTTGTCCGACTGAAAAACTGCCAAATCTATACATATAAAAAGTTGCCGAAACCAGCATTAAAGGGATCTTAATCAATAATAGCGTAATGCCGCCCCACTTTTTAGAAATTTGAAGATAATTGTATTATCTTGCAGAAGGATCCTGTTGCGGCACAAGAGAAAAGGGCAGTCGCCAATTAAGTTGAGGTTGTTATTAATGTCCCTATTTGCTCTAGGTTTCAACAATACACGTATGTACATGGGTGATTACAACCAATATGTGGCTGGCAGGGTTATTGAGAAACTCTGTTTTTACACCAACCACACAGAATAGGGAAGGCTGATGCAGACCTGCTCAGTGTGACGTACTTATTGTTGAGTTTTCCAAGTAAAGGAGATAATCTTCATATTGAACGTGCAACACTCCTTTTTTCTGCCAGATCAGATGGACAAATCTCCAATCACAAATTATTTTCTCTCACACGGTATTAAAGTCACTCTTTTTGGAAAATAAATATGCATAAAATACACTGTTATTTTCAGAAAATCAGGCCCGATTAAAATGTACGTCATTCCAAAAAAATGTATGCCATGCATCATTTATACAGTTTCAGTTTATTTATTTTGGTATAGCCGTGAGTCATTCGGCTCTTAAATCAGGTGCAACCACAACAAACAAAAAACCAAAACACGAACAAGAAAAACATCTTAAAGTGACTATGTGACTGTGCAAACAGAAAATCCATGAAAAAACCAGCAAAATATTCCTGAAAAAAGCACCGTACACCAACGCTGTGTGCAAAAAATCCCAGTGGGATGCAAGTCAAACAACAACAACCACAAGAAAACTTAGATAAAGGCCATCAGTCTAACAAAACAAACATGTCCAAACCAAAAAACGTTTTCGAAATCACCAAAAAATAAAGCCATAATTGCAACGTAACAGTGATCACAGGGACTGTGACCGAATTTTTACAATAAACTACATAAATAACATGCAACACCAAATCCTAGAGCCATAGCTGGCTGCATGAGTTACTCAACAACAGAAGCATCAGTCTGAGTATCAGTTGTTGACATTGTACGTGTGCTGGTTAATTTCTCTAATGGGACCGCCAGTTCAGTCATTGATCAAAATAACTCTGCACCATTTCTACTCGTGGCCAAACTGATATTCAAGGATCCTACTTCGATACGCAGTCAACTTAAACGTCCACGCAACTACCCCCCTCCCCACCGCCGCTTCCTCCTCCTCCTCCAGCCATGAAGGACGTTTGGCAGGACAATTGAATCATTTTGCGGGACCCCGGGGGTCCGGAAAAAATCAGGTCAATAATAATTATTATTCAGTCCGCCCCACTACGTGACCCCGCCAGCAACGCGCCGCCCGCCCAGACTCGCACCAACAACACGCGCCAGCAGCAGCAGCAGGCGGCGATCGACACGATGGGCGCCACCCCACCGGACAAACGCGAGCCCCGGGGGGTGACGACGCCCTCCGGTCAGCCGTCGATCCTCGGCTTCTTTGCCAAGGCGAGCCCGCCCCCCCAGGCAGTGAATTTAACGTGTTTATGTAATTTTTCTACTTTTTACGAAACTTAGTGTCCCCGAGTAGCTCTCGACGAGGCCAATCGATTGACCACTAGAGTTTTGTTGTTGTCGGCAAGGCGACAAGACTCGTGTCGCTACGCGGGTTTTCCCACCCCGGGGCAGTGATGGGACCCCGGGGTCCCGCCAATTGCTTCAATTGCAACATTTAATGTCAAGAGCCGTATCATCCATTCACAACGACCCCCGACATGGGCCTCAGCTGGACCCACGCCACACACCGCTGCCAGGTAGCGCAGCGTTAGCCCCCCGCTCGGCCTCGCTTCTGCTTCCACACTGTGGACTTTTGTGTAGGCAATCTGAAGCAACTTGGCCACCCACGGCCATCAACACACGCCAGTCTCGTAGGTGTGTTGCAGCGCATCAGTTTCGAGCGGCGGATCCCTCCCAACGAGAACGAAAACTGCAGCTTGCGATTTTATAAACGCGACGCGACCCGCTTAGGTTACGTGTGAACATTTAAAAGTCATTCCCGACGGCAACGGGAGATGTGAGCAAGCGGAGAAAGGGAAGTTGTTTAAAGTAGGCGAACGAGTGAATGGCTGGGTGGGCGAGTGAGTGGGTGAAATACAGCGAGTTGGTGAATGATAGGGGAGGGTGGCAGTAGTCACTCACCGCTTTCTTTACCACGTTTCTCACCGCCTCCTTCCTCACCACTTTCTCACCGCCTCCTTCCTCACCACCTCCTTCCTCACCGCCTTTCTCACCGCCTTCCTCACCACTTTCTCACCACTTTCTCACCGCCTTCCTCACCACCTTTCTCACCACCTTCCTCACCGCCTCCTTCCTCACCACCTCCTTCCTCACCACTTCCTCACCGCCTTCCTCACCTCTTTCTCACCGCCTTCCTCACCGCCTTCCTCACCGCCTTCCTCACCACCTTCCTCACCACTTTCTCACCGCCTTCCTCACCGCCTTCCTCACCACCTTCCTCACCGCCTTCCTCACCACCTTCCTCACCACCTTCCTCACCGCCTCCTTCCTCACCACCTCCTTCCTCACCACTTTCTCACCGCCTCCCTCACCACTTTCTCACCGCCTCCTTCCTCACCACCTTTCTCACCACTTCCTCACCACCTTCCTCACCACCTTCCTCACCACTTCCTCACCACGTTCCTCACCACTTTCCTCACCACCGCCACGGCCACACTCCGTGGCGCGACCAAACGGTGGACTTTCAAACTGCGGGCCGGCGTCTCACGTGACGCGCACCGCGCCCGCTCATTGGTGCGCCGACCGTGACGTCACCGCGCCAACGCGACCGTTAGGGGACGCGCGCCCACGTGACGAGGGAAACGATCGCCTCTGAGGGGGGCGGAGAGAGGTGGGGGGAATGGGGCGGTGACGTCATTGGGCGGGGGGCGTGGTGGAATGGGGGAGGGGCGTAATGGGAAGGATGTGAGGAGGAGGTGAATTAGGGGGAGGGGGAATGGGGGGCCAGGGGGCGAGGGAGGATGGTGGGGGCGGGGGCGGGGGCGGGGGCGGGGGGAGGGCGGGGCGAGGGCGAGGGGAGGGCGGGCGAGGGGAGGGGGGGAGGGCGGGCGAGGGCGGGGGGAGGGCGGGGGGAGGGCGGGCGAGGGCGGGGGGGAGGGCGGGCGAGGGCGGGGGGAGGGCGGGCGAGGGCGGGGCGAGGGCGGGGTGAGGGAGGGGGGAGGGCGGGGGAAGGGCGGGGGAAGGGCGGGGCGAGGGCCACAGGCGCGCATGCGCAGTTAGCGTTTGGACACTGCAGTGTGGCCATCATGGATGGGGAAGGCAGCAGCAGCAGCAGCACCAAGGTGAGAGAGTTCTCGAATCGCCGCTAACCACCGCTCCCGTTCCTGGCGAAACTCGGTATACACACCAACTGTATTTGTACATTTGAATGAAAACAGCGCGCCGTGGGCTGTAAGGTGGGATTCAAAGACGGCAGCTTGTTAACGTCGTAAGCGTTAACTGTGATACATCACAACGCAGGCCACAGTCAGTTGCGCAAGTGGTCCATGGCGAGTGAGACTGTATTGTAGACTGTAGTGAGTGGAGTTCACTTCCCGACAGCTGGCTCTTCAGGCGACTTCTACAGACTCCGAGTCCTACCCCTCGCCTGTGTTCACCTGCAGTGATGTGTCTTACACTGTCACCTGTGTTCACCTGCAGTGATGTGTCTTACACTGTCACCTGTGTTCACCTGCAGTGATGTGTCTTACACTGTCACCTGTGTTCACCTGCAGTGATGTGTCTTACACTGTCATCTTAATGTGTTCACCTGCAGTGATGTGTCTTACATTGTCTCTCACCTGCGTCCACCTGCAGTGATATGTCTTACACTGTCACCTGTGTTCACCTGCAGTGATGTGTCTTACACTGTCACCTGTGTTCACCTGCAGTGATGTGTCTTACACTGTCACTCACCTGTGTTCACCTGCAGTGATGTGTCTTACACTGTCACTCACCTCTGTTCACCTGCAGTGATGTGTCTTACACTGTCACTCACCTGTGTTCACCTGTAGTGATGTGTCTTACACTGTCACCTGTGTTCACCTGTAGTGATGTGTCTTACACTGTCTCTCACCTGTGTTCACCTGCAGTGATGTGTCTTACACTGTCACTCACCTGTGTTCACCTGCAGTGATGTGTCTTACACTGTCACCTGTGTTCACCTGCAGTGATGTGTCTTACACTGTCACCTGTGTTCACCTGCAGTGATGTGTCTTACATTGTCTCTCACCTGCGTTCACCTGCAGTGATATGTCTTACACTGTCACCTGTGTTCACCTGCAGTGATGTGTCTTACACTGTCACCTGTGTTCACCTGCAGTGATGTGTCTTACACTGTCACTCACCTGTGTTCACCTGCAGTGATGTGTCTTACACTGTCACTCACCTGTGTTCACCTGCAGTGATGTGTCTTACACTGTCACCTGTGTTCACCTGCAGTGATGTGTTTTACACTGTCACCTGTGTTCACCTGCAGTGATGTGTCTTACACTGTCTCTCACCTGTGTTCACCTGCAGTGATGTGTCTTACATTGTCTCTCACCTGCGTTCACCTGCAGTGATATGTCTTACACTGTCACCTGTGTTCACCTGCAGTGATGTGTCTTACACTGTCACCTGTGTTCACCTGCAGTGATGTGTCTTACACTGTCACTCACCTGTGTTCACCTGCAGTGATGTGTCTTACACTGTCACTCACCTCTGTTCACCTGCAGTGATGTGTCTTACACTGTCACTCACCTGTGTTCACCTGTAGTGATGTGTCTTACACTGTCACCTGTGTTCACCTGTAGTGATGTGTCTTACACTGTCTCTCACCTGTGTTCACCTGCAGTGATGTGTCTTACACTGTCACTCACCTGTGTTCACCTGCAGTGATGTGTCTTACACTGTCACCTGTGTTCACCTGCAGTGATGTGTCTTACACTGTCACCTGTGTTCACCTTCAGTGATGTGTCTTACACTGTCATCTTAATGTGTTCACCTGCAGTGATGTGTCTTACATTGTCTCTCACCTGCGTTCACCTGCAGTGATATGTCTTACACTGTCACCTGTGTTCACCTGCAGTGATGTGTCTTACACTGTCACCTGTGTTCACCTGCAGTGATGTGTCTTACACTGTCACTCACCTGTGTTCACCTGCAGTGATGTGTCTTACACTGTCACTCACCTCTGTTCACCTGCAGTGATGTGTCTTACACTGTCACTCACCTGTGTTCACCTGTAGTGATGTGTCTTACACTGTCACCTGTGTTCACCTGTAGTGATGTGTCTTACACTGTCTCTCACCTGTGTTCACCTGCAGTGATGTGTCTTACACTGTCACCTGTGTTCACCTGCAGTGATGTGTCTTACACTGTCACTCACCTGTGTTCACCTGCAGTGATGTGTATTACACTGTCACCTTAATGTGTTCACATGCAGTGATGTGTCTTACACTGTCACCTGTGTTCACCTGCAGTGATATGTCTTACACTGTCACTCACCTGTGTTCACCTGCAGTGATGTGTCTTACACTGTCACTCACCTGTGTTCACCTGCAGTGATGTGTCTTACACTGTCACTCACCTGTGTTCACCTGCAGTGATGTGTATTACACTGTCTCTCACCTGTGTTCACCTGCAGTGATGTGTCTTACACTGTCTCTCACCTGTGTTCACCTGCAGTGATGTGTCTTACACTGTCACCTGTGTTCACCTGCAGTGATGTGTCTTACATTGTCTCTCACCTGTGTTCACCTGCAGTGATGTGTCTTACACTGTCACCTGTGTTCACCTGCAGTGATGTGTCTTACACTGTCACTCACCTGTGTTCACCTGTAGTGATATGTCTTACACTGTCACCTGTGTTCACCTGTAGTGATGTGTCTTACACTGTCTCTCACCTGTGTTCACCTGCAGTGATGTGTCTTACACTGTCTCTCACCTGTGTTCACCTGCAGTGATGTGTCTTACACAGTCATCACCTGTGTTCACCTGCAGTGATGTGTCTTACACTGTCACCTGTGTTCACCTGCAGTGATGTGTCTTACATTGTCTCTCACCTGTGTTCACCTGCAGTGATGTGTCTTACACTCTCTCACCTGTGTTCACCTGCAGTGATGTGTCTTACACTGTCTCTCACCTGTGTTCACCTGCAGAGATGTGTCTTACACTGTCACTCACCTGTGTTCACCTGCAGTGATGTGTCTTACACTGTCACCTGTGTTCACCTGCAGTGATGTGTCTTACATTGTCTCTCACCTGTGTTCACCTGCAGTGATGTGTCTTACACTGTCACTCACCTGTGTTCACCTGCAGTGATGTGTCTTACACTGTCACTCACCTGTGTTCACCTGCAGTGATGTCTCTTACACTGTCACCTGTGTTCACCTGCAGTGATGTGTCTTACACTGTCACTCACCTGTGTTCACCTGCAGTGATGTGTCTTACACTGTCACCTGTGTTCACCTGCAGTGATGTGTCTTACATTGTCACTCACCTGTGTTCACCTGCAGTGATGTGTCTTACACTGTCACCTGTGTTCACCTGCAGTGATGTGTATTACACTGTCACTCACCTGTGTTCACCTGCAGTGATGTGTCTTACACTGTCACCTGTGTTCACCTGCAGTGACGTGTCTTACACTGTCACTCACCTGTGTTCACCTGCAGTGATGTGTATTACACTGTCACCTGTGTTCACCTGCAGTGATGTGTCTTACACTGTCACTCACCTGTGTTCACCTGCAGTGATGTGTCTTACACTGTCTGTCACATGTGTTCACATGCAGTGATGTGTCTTACACTGTCACCTGTGTTCACCTGCAGTGATATGTCTTACACTGTCACCTGTGTTCACCTGCAGTGATGTGTCTTACACTGTCACTCACCTGTGTTCACCTGCAGTGATGTGTCTTACACTGTCACCTTAATGTGTTCACATGCAGTGATGTGTCTTACACTGTCACCTGTGTTCACCTGCAGTGATGTGTCTTACACTGTCACTCACCTGTGTTCACCTGCAGTGATGTGTATTACACTGTCTCTCACCTGTGTTCACCTGCAGTGATGTGTCTTACACTGTCTCTCACCTGTGTTCACCTGCAGTGATGTGTCTTACACTGTCACTCACCTGTGTTCACCTGCAGTGATGTGTCTTACACTGTCACTTGTGTTCACCTGCAGTGACGTGTCTTACACTGTCACTCACCTGTGTTCACCTGCAGTGGTGTCTTACACTGTCACCTTAATGTGTTCACATGCAGTGATGTGTCTTACACTGTCACCTGTGTTCACCTGCAGTGATGTGTCTTA